TTTATACTATATTACCAGGGAGGATAGTAAAGTTAGATAGTGTTTTAGACTTAGATTTCTTAGGTTTCTTATAGGTAGAACTTACCCTATAGGTATTATCTAAAGCCCTAGATTACACTAAGGCCTTAGTTTAGTGTTACCTTAAGAAGTCCTTTACTATAGATATACTTCTACTTAACCTTAACTATATATTTTTACTTAAGTATATTAAAAACTATATAAAATATATAGTAATATATATCTACTGTTTTTAAATTAGTAAAGTATTAAGTAAGTAGGAGTACTAAAAGGTATTAGGAACGTTTCTTAATTAAATTATCTTTATATCTTTACCTTTTTTTAATTTATAACTATACTATACCTAAATAATTTTATAATAGTATATACCTCTTATATATTTATAGTTAGTATTAACTATAAATATCTTTATATTAGTAAATATTTATTACTTTATCTGCTTTTTAAAGAAGTAGATAACTATATAGTTACTATATAATTAATAGGACTACTATATATACTTTTAATAAACTTATATTAGTATATATTAGATATTAAAATTTAGATACTTTTATATAAGTCTACTAGTTTTATTCTTTAGTCTACTATAGTGTAAAGGTAATTACTTATGTTCCCTAAGGAAATAAAAAGATTTTTTGCTTTTAGATAATATACTAAAAGTAGTTAGTATTTATAAGACTTTAGTATATATTTATAATTAACTTTCCCCTATATTAAGAAATAAGCTTCTTAAGTTTAGAAAAGCGTAGAAATATATCTAGAAATATATTAATAAAAATACTATAATATTTATTATAAATTCTTACTTAGGCTTATTCTTAGTTTATTAATATACTAGATTACTTTTATAATTTTATTTAAAATAGATAGTAGTGTCTTTAAGGCTAGTAGGGGGAGGGTAAGAGTACTAGCTATAGGAGGTAAATAAGATAAATAGCGTTATTTTAATATCTTTTAGAAAAAAAAACTTTATTTTAACCTTACACTTTATTTATTAAAGCTCTAGAGGTTCTTTATAGTATATTTAATTTATTATTTAATATTAGTAAATTCTCTTATAATAAAAATAAAAAGTATTATACTATATATTTACCTTTTTTACTTATTACTTATAAAGATAAAGCACTTTTACCCTCCTTTATTTACTAGCTTATAATTAGTACCTTAAAGTCTTATATAGATATAGTCTATATAGCTTCTCTATTTAGTAAGAATAATAAGCTAAAAATAGTTAGTATAGTCTTTATATATATATAAGTTTATATAGTAAATAATTTATTATTAGATACTAATAATATACTAAGCTATATTAGTTTATTTCTTAATTTAAGGAATAATTCTTACCTTATAGTTTAATTTAATTAGGATAGGCTTATAGCTTTTAACCTAAGCTTTATATATATAACCTTTTTAAAATCTAGTATGTATTATATATATTATACTACTTATTTCTTAGCTTTTATTAAAACTTAATTAAAAACGTTCTTAAAACCTTCCTACTTACACTAAGATCTTTTTTTTTATTATAAATTCTTTTACTTTAGTTTATAAGGCTTTTATCTATATAGCTAAGTCTAATATAACACTAAAGTAATAGAAGTCTTATACTAAAGTATATAGGTATACTTTACTACTAGTGTAGTTATAAAAGTAATAAGTAATAAGTATATCTTTAAGAGCTATACTTATAGTTAGGAATTCTAACCTTATTACCTTTATATTATATTATATTTATAATAGTATTAGTAAATTATTTACTTTAAGAATAGTATACTATATAATTAACTATAGTGCTTTAATTTCTTTTAGTAATAGTAATTCTATTAAGATAATAAATACTATACTATCTTCTAATATATTTAGTATTTTAAGGATTACTATAAGAAAGTAAATATAATTAATAATAAAAATATTTTTATTTACTTAAGATTTATTATTTACTAGACTTATATCTAATATAAGAATAAGCTTAATATCTTATAGTTATATTATCTATTAATTTTTTTTAGTTCTTTTTATATACTTTTAAATAAAAAATTATACTTTACCTAATAATAATAAGTTTTTTAAATAAAATCTATTTATAGTTATAAGCTTAGATAAATAAAAAACATAATATTATTTTAAATAATATTTTAACTTTTAATTAAACTTTAGAACTTATCTTTTAGGATTTATAGCGTTAGGAATAGTCTAATATTTTCTATATATATTATATTTCTTATATTTAGCCTTAGTAAACTTACTATTATACTAGTAGTATTAGTAAAAACGTTTTAGAAATATTCCTAAAACGTTTTTAATACTACTAAATTACTATAAATCTTTTTTAGTTTAGTCTAAGTTAATTAAGAGATATTTTAGAAATATTTCTAGTGTTTTTACTATAAATCCCTTATTTAAATTATATTACTACTATTATCTAGTAGTATAAGTACTTTATTAGTATATAGAAAAATATTTAGCTAATAAGTAATTAGTTTAGAAATATTTCTATATAATATCTACCTTACCTATATATTTCTAAATTATTTTCTAATTAGTCTAGAAATATTTTTACTATATATACTTTAGAAATTTTTTTTTTTTTTAGAAATATAAATCTATATAAGCCTATTAGCTAAATCCTTATCTAGCTGTATCTATTATGTGCAGACCTTTACACAGGCTATTATGCACGGTACTCTGAGGTTACTGGGGGGGGGACACTGTGAGCTTGTCTGATCACTCCTTGCGCAGTGCGCTGCGCGGCGTCGAGCCAAGATAGCCCAGGTCCACTTCAATGTACCGAGTACTAAGCTCTTTACGTATCTAATATGTAATATCTGCACCACTATTGGTACTCGTTACGCGGCCAGTTAACCTTTTCGGCAGTGAACTTCCTGCATCGCAGCTCCGACCAAGGAGCAAACAGGGGCTTGTTATTTGGCGTTTACCAGGGAGGGATGGGGGGCCACTGCACACAGGCATGCCATCGGCAAAGGCAGGGAGGTGATTACCTATTTCCTGCCTACCTAGTAGATAGGTATCTGCACTACGAAAGGGTTCGTGATTTCCGATTCCAAAGATAAGGGATCCGGCATTGTTCCCCGTATCGTTTCCTGTCCGCAAAGCTTCCCGGTGCCCTCAACCGCCTCCGCTCTTGCCCCTCCTCTTTCTCCTCCTCAATTACCAATCCGCCGCATCTTCCTTCTATTCTGCTACACATACCAAATCTCGAATCCTCCTTGCGGCGCCTGTTTTTTTATGTTGCGTACTATTGGCTTCATCCGTATAGCTATGAACTCGGCTCCCCCGATAGTACACTAAACCAACCACACGCACATTCACGCCAACTCTACGCAAAGGCTCCAAATCATCGCCGTCATCGCTCCTGGTCCCCGATCTTCGCCGCCGACTATCGATTGCCGTTGTGCTCCTCCCCGAAACTCGAAGTATGATATCTTGAGAGACTGCATTTCCACGTCGATCCCCGGGGCCATAGGAAAACCATGGCAAATCAACGAGAGAAACAACTGCATCGCGCGCGCCTGGTCGCCAGCGTCGCAGCTACCGTCATCTCTCTGGCGTGCGGTACCAACGTGAGTTGGCGCGACTGGATCGTTTCCCTTCCCACAGCATCTGTCATGAACTCTGTATTCAAACTTATTGCTAACCTGCCGTTTGCATCCAGTACGTTTACTCAGCATGGGCGCCTCAATTCGCTGAGCGACTGAAGCTTTCCTCGACCGAAACAAACGTTATTGGCCTTTCCGCCAACTTAGGAATGTATTCGTTGGGCGTTCCCGTCGGCATACTCGTTGACCACAAAGGCCCTCGCCTTGCAGTTATCCTCGGCTCCGTCTTGCTCGCTCTTGGATACTTCCCATTCCATATCGCTTACGATCGCGCCGCTGCTCCGGTGCCGCTCCTCTGTTTCTTTTCATATCTGACTGGCCTCGGTGGATGTCTGGCCTTTGCAGCGGCCGTGAAGACATCTGCTTTGAACTGGCCGCATCACCGGGGCACCGCAACGGCATTTCCTCTGGCAGCTTTTGGCTTGAGTGCCTTTTTTTTCTCGACCTTTGGAACAATCTTTTTCCCAGGAAACACAAGTGCCTTTCTGGCTCTGCTCTCTTTTGGAACCTGCGGGCTGACTTTCCTCGGCTTCTTTTTCTTGCGTGTCTGGCCCCATGCCAATTATCACAGCGTGCCCACCGGTGATGTCCTATCTGGCTCGCAGCAGCTTCGTCGTACGTCCTCGGAAGAGGCCAGACCCAATCGCCCAGGTCATGGACACAGCGCCTCCCTGATTGAACCTGGTACGTCGCTTAAAGTTGCCAATACTACTACTGCCACCACCCACTATGAGCCGGTCCAGCCAGAACACGAACCGTCTGCGCCGTCTCTCGAGGCTGATGAGGCGCAAATCGAAGACATCGATGCCGATGATTATGAGCCCAACGAGACGTCCTCGCTGGTGTCGAGCACCTCCTCTATGCCCGGTGATGTCTTTGTGCAGAGTAGTGTTGATCTGGATCGTTCTCATCGAATAGATATTCGTGGCTGGGCACTTCTGCGTGAGATCGATTTTTGGCAATTGTTCATCGTCATGGGAATCCTTACTGGTATCGGCCTGATGACCATCAAGTAAGTCTCGAAATCTCGCGATACTATCCATAGACTGAAGCTAACATTCGCCTCTAGCAACATTGGGAATGACGTTAAAGCTCTATGGCGCCATTGGGACGAGTCTGTAGATGAGGCGTATCTCATCACAAGGCAGCAGATGCACGTGTCCATCTTGTCAGTATGCAGTTTTGCTGGCAGGCTCCTTAGCGGTATGATCATTACCACTCGTGGTTACCAACTCCCATGAAGCACCAGCTGATTTGAATCACCAAGGCGTCGGCTCAGATTTGATCAAGCGGCTCAACGGCAGTCGAGTCTGGTGCCTTGTGGCATCCAGTGCCGTCTTCTTTGTAGCTCAAGTTCTGGCTCTCCACGTCATTAACCCTCACTTGCTTGGATTGGTCTCTGGTCTTTCTGGCATTGCGTACGGCTTCCTTTTTGGAGTATTCCCCTCCATCGTAGCCGAAACGTTTGGAATCCACGGGCTCAGCCAAAACTGGGGTTTGATGACGCTATCACCTGTTGTCTCGGGTAACGTGTTCAACATTTTCTATGGAAAGATCTACGACAAGCATAGTGTTTTGGGACCGGATGGCGAGCGTGTTTGTCACGAAGGGCTAGAATGCTATCGCGCAGCATACCTGATGACACTCGGGGCATGCTCTGTTGGTCTGATCCTTACGCTATGGGTTATCTACCACCAGCGACTTAAATGGGCCAAGGAAGAAAAGAGCAAGGCTGAACAGGTCGACTGAAGGTCTCATCAAAGGCTGATGTTGGAAACATGATGAGTAGGGAATGGTGCAATATAGCTGCATAATACAGGTGCGATACAGCTCTTTGCGAGCCCCAAGAGCTTTCTTGTACATATCAAGAAACCAAGGATGCATAGGCATCGGATTGCGGTTCGCCATTCTAGACCTTGCAATGCGGCGACTGAGGACAAGGGATAGAGGATCGGCGTTTTCGGTTGCCTCGCTGGCATGCATTATCGCACCATTTACTATACAGTTCAATAGGAGTTATTCCGGTTGTTCACCCCAAAGCCTTCTGCCACCTCCCCACTACGACTATGACTCTCAAGGTGCTGTTTCCGTGGCTGAGGGTTTGAACAAGCGACTAGATCAGGCACTTCACATAACAAGATTGTGGCTTCTTCGGCACATGTTAGGCCACAGTGACATTCGCATGATTTCATCAGTAGCATCAGAATTGATCTAGCATTCTAGATCGAGCATTTGTGGAGGGCAATCGCCGCCACCTGCAACTCAGTGCGTCTCCTTGCGCAAACTATAACCTGCTCTTCCACTGCCATCGCCTGGCGTGCGCTCTGGGTCAGTGCAGGCCTCTTCCCCTTTCGTGTATAGAGAATGTAAAGCTTCCTTAGGGCCGCTACTAGATTAGGCTCAGAGACGGGATCCAAAACCCAAAGAGAAAGCCCGTCATGACATTATATAAAATAATCGAGTGAGAAGAAGCTCCATCCTTTCTAGCTTGTAATCCTTCTCACGAAAACATCCGGGATGACTCCTTGTTGTAACGCTATACTTCCTCAGGCCGAGACCAAATGGGGAAGACTAAGGAAGAGCCTGAGACGATTCCGAAGTTCCATGGCAAAGGAGAAAAAAGAAAGGGTAGAAAAAGAGAGGGAAACAAAACCGCGTTTCGGTGCCTCTAGCCAAAACGCACGAACCGTTCAAACTCCAGCCAATGCAAGATGCAGATAAACAAATAACGATAACTGAAAACATTATGCCAACGCCCATGTGTTATGGTCGAAGGCCTCATATGTCCATTCTGACGTCAAGGCAAAGGCGTTTGAGGTTGGTTACACGTAGTTGAGACCGTCTATATCAAAAGAAATGAAGGCTCCCGCATCTTCTACGTCATGAACCCGTATTAAAAGTAAGGGCCTGGCGAGCCGGGCATTTGTCGTATATACATCGTGGGGTAGTTGAATTGAAACTCCGCTTTTAGGAAGCTGAAGGTCTCTTTGACCGAATTGGCATTGCCAATAACATGGCATAGCAATAGCCGAGTGTCAGCTTTGCCGTTATGGCGTCTTACCACGCTTGCGATCTTCGACGTGACTGTTTTCGAATATCGAACTGAAGCCGGCGAGGGGCCAATTATCATTTGTCGAGTGGACCACAACTAACCATGCAGCTATTAAGTTGACAAGGTAGTGTAGCATGTAGGCATATGAGACACCATAAATTGCAGCGTAGATGGCAGTGCCAAACAAAAGCACGCTGGTGAGGTGCCTCATCCTTCCACTAACTCTAGGCACCATCTTGCCCGTTGTCAGGTTCTCCACAAGAAGAATGAAGGGCATAATGGAGAGTACATTGTGATGCGAGGAGAACGGTGTAAGCCAGTGGACGGCGAGGTTGCGGATCCACACGGCCAGGATCGGCAGGTTTATAGGAAGGACCCAAAGCATGAGAAGTAAGATTGAGTGAGCATAATGGTAAAAGGCGAAGGTCGGCCCGGACTTGAGCTCCGAGGCAATTCGGAGTGCGCGGACAGCAGTAAAGAGCTGGACAAGGCATGCTACCAAGTAAGCGAATTGGTAAGGGATAAAGGTGGACACCAGGAACAGAAGGACTGCTGTGGTGACCATGCGCCGGCGGGGTGACGAAGCGACAAAAGCCGGCAGCTGCGCTCGCCGCCGCTCGTCTCTCGCCTGGCCGTAGGGTCGAAGAGCCAACCGCGAGTAGGCGATTCCGAGGAGCTGGGTCAAAGCCAGGGTAACATAGTGAAGGACTGCGCATACACCGATGCAGACAACTCCGATAAGGGGGGTCAGAAACCAGAAAAAAGGATCCTGAGTGCCGGTAAGAAGATCGTTGCTGTGAAAATCAGCTGCAGTTGACGTTGTGTTACGCCAGTGCCAGAACACACCCGGCCCCGACGACCAGGATCCTGTCATTGACAAGGAGAGAAACGTCAAAGAAAGAAGCATAAGAGGCAGTGACTGCCGTAAGCAGAGGTCGAGGCCCTCAGAAAAAGAGATGAACGTGCCAGTGGTGTCGTATACACGAAACTGTTTGCGAAGCACAAGAGTCACCACGAGCAGTGGGAAAGCTGCGAATACAGTTCGATAGCGCATGTACAGCTTACCCAAACTGCCCAACACGTCAACCGTCAGTTTGACTTGGATAGCGGATTCGCATGTCGGGTCGGTCCAGAACTGAAGACTAAGGCCCTGCTCGTCATGCCCCTTGTGCCTCAGGGGAGGCGGAACAAAGGGGGCTACGCCATGCATGCTGATGCTGGCATGTCTCGCGTTGACAAAAAACTTGGACTCGTACGGCTGAGCCAAGTGCTGCCGAATCATTGGGGAGAAGAGCCCTGAAGTAGTGCCGCACGCTTGGTTGGCCATCTCTAAGCTGTAAGCGAGGAGGCTGGATTGGAGGGTGGGGATGTTGATTTCTGCAACCATGGAACGGTTTGATGGGAGGCTCAATGTCATCCCGAACGCGAGGAGTCGGCGTAGGCTGATATTTCGCCGTCTGTGAGACTGAGAGTAGTCGCTGAACTCGGCCACCACAAAGCTTCGAGTTGGTTTGACGGCTTTATCCACGACGGCCACAAACTGGTGATCGGAGATGTCTTCGGTGTCAAACTGGAGATACGAGAACGGTCTCGTTACCGGGTCGTTGTCCAGGGAAAACGGCTCATGACGAGATTCCGTCGAAGGAGGTAGCAAGATGACGTCGGGCGCAGCGCTCTTGCACGCTAACCTGGTCGACCCCGTACTGTCTCCTGAGAGATCCATGTTCATTGAGAACAAGGTTGTCGCTTGGCCGGGCTGTAGCGGGAAAACACTGCAAAACAAGACCTCCAACTTGCCGTGTTCTCCTGGTTTATCCAGAGCCGTGTCACTCAGAAGTGTAAATCGTTTGCTTTCTGGGGATCCCTGAGGGGGCACAGGAAGCAAATGAGCACGTGGTTTCGGTTCGCGCCCAAGCTGCCGCAGAACTAGGCGTTCGCCCTGCGCCATGATGGCATTGGAATTATCCTCAAGAGTAAGAAGCGTGCTTAGCCCCTCTGAAGGTAGAGTTTTTTCCGCAATGGATTCCATGCCAGTGAGGAACCATTTCTTGAAGACTCTCATCCTTTCTGCCCTTGGCTTAGTTTGCGAAGATCTGTGGACATCGACGACGTCGTACATGGCCCGAGCAACGACTTTGCGGAATTGGTCGCACCAAAGAATGGCCTGGTGGTCCATACTAGTCCAGACGCCAGGTATGCCTGTGGTGAAGACAGTGAAACCATGCGTCTCGGGAATTATCGACTCGACGCTAGCATAGTCGGATGGGACCACGGTGTCTAAGCCGCCCCCAGCAATCGAGACAAGAGTAACGTGCCACAACGGGTTGTTATTGGCCCATTTTTGAGAGTAGGCATGACGCCAATAGTCGTTGATATCGTCATATATCTTGACGATCTGCCCGTCAAAGGTCACAGGAGGACGCGAGTGGGGAGCAGACATGGTGATGATGGTGTTGATGGAGTTGGACTGGTAGTTTGGCATAATGAGCATTGTGCGCGCAACGATGCCACCCATCGAGTGACCAAGAACGAGAACAGAGGTGGGATCCGGTAAGCCATGGTCACGCGCAGACATGCGCGGGTCCATGTACAGGGACAGAATGTACCTGATGGCCTCGTTCAAGTACTCTGCCTGGTCCAACATTGTCTGTCCATGAAAGGCCGTGATGTCTTCGTTAAAGTCTACGGTGAAAAAGTCAAGGCTCCGAGTGCCCGTGGCCGCGGCAATTTCATCGTGTTGGAGAGATTCGTGGTAGTAATTCGCAGCTTCAGCTGCTATCGGCCGAACCTGTTTGTAGCTTCCAGCATTGCCTGGAATGAAGAGTACAGGGATACCTCTCAACTGCAAACGATCAGCAGCTAGCCTGGCAAAGGGGAAGTGAGTTGGGGGAGCACCTTTCTTTCGTCGTCGACGCCCTGCTCACGGTATAGGTACAGTGAGTACTTCGTCGCAAAGCGAGTGTGTTCGGTGTCGAAGTCGCGCAGACGAATGTAAGAGGGCCGCATGTAGGACATGCGGCATCCCTTTGCGTCGATCTGGCGAGTCCAAGACGAGTTCAAGATGGCGCAGAGCAGGGTGATGCCAAGAACGGTGACAGCCAAAGCGAAAATGGTGATGGACCAAGGGCTGCGAGAACGGGGGCGGCGACCTGCGAATCGCACGTCGGGCATCTTCTCGGAGGCCGTTGCCATCGACTCGTCTCGAGAGGAGTTGTCGTCGTCGTCGTCGTCGTCGTCTTGGACGTTTGGCAGACTGACGACGTCTTCCTGGTGGGTCTGGCGTTCAGCGCCAGGGGCTTGGGAGTGGGTGTGATTTGGGAGTTGGCGGTGGTCGTTTCGGTAGGTAGGTGATGGCGCAGTCAAGGAAACAGACGAGAAGGGGGGTGGCAAGGAAGACGCAGTCAAGGAATGGTTCTCGGGTGATCCATTCGCATTCGGGCCATGTTCGAGCTTCCAATTGGGGTTGTTTGAGCGTCTACTCCTTGCCGACGAAGGCCTCGAGGCGACAGCAACTGCGGCGACGATAGCAGACTGCTTGGGGGCGCGAGATGGTGGTGACGGTGGTGGTGGTGATGCAAAATTGCAATCTGGGGAGGGTTGGCCGTGTTGATATTGGTAGTGGTGGTGTTGGAGTCGGATGGCAGGAGGGTCAGGGTGAGGAGGTTCGTCGCTGTCGTCGGTCGAACCCGACGAGCGCCTCTTCATGGGTAGAGAGGGCTCGCTCGAGTCTCTCACGGAAGGGAAGCGTTCGTTCGGTATATCGAGCCTCGAGAGAGGAATAGCTTAGCTCAAGGCTGCCAGGAGAGTAGGGAACCGGCAGAGAAAACCTAGGGAGCGACAAGGGACGGCGATGGCGGCGGCGACGACGACGACAAAGGAGGGACAGACGTTAGCGGGAGGAATGGACGAAAGAAGGAAGGAAAATGAACGTGCTCTCTTTGGGCGAAGTGGTGGTTGTGGCAGCAGGCTACCTAGGTAGGTAGTAGGTATGTATGCTGCTAGTGGGTGCTGTCGAGGCTAGGCTATCGCTACCGTCGCTGGCCCTAAAGTACTGTAATTGTAGCTGGTTGCTGGTGTTAGTGCTCCCGCGGCAATGTCAGCTCCTCCCAATGCAAGATGGATAGGTAGGCCACGCACAGATAAGATGTGTGTCAAGTGCAAGTTAGATTCGCCTTATGAGGTGAACTTGATGCTGCCAAGACAGCAGCCCAAAGTAAGGTACCTTCGGAGTACTTGACCTGGACAAACTACGTAGTACTGAACCAAGGCTCGACACGCGCATATGCGCTGAAGCAATTGCTAGTTGTTCCAGCAGCGACAGACAGCTTTGATAGTGAGACACTTTTGAGCTACTCTGGTGCACGTCCATTTTCTGCTGCTGAACCAAGTACACGTCACGTATCCATGCTTGGGCGTGTCGAGTCGCATGGCAGTTGGTAGGCCTCCATGTATGTGTACGTACATGTACGCAACATGGCGTTAGACGATGTGCTTTTTTGGCAACGCAGGGCACCTGGAAGCACTCCCCTCCCTCGGGTCGGTCAACTCAGGGCTTCTTTCCTAAATATCTACCTAGCTAGGTATGTATGCTGGGTGGTCTAAGCAGGTCCCCCCTACATTTTCGGTGAAAGCCTCTCTGTAGAGCGTCTTTTCAACCGTGAAAGGGAACACAGTATCCCCGAAAAAGAAAGAAAGAAAGAGAATTGAAAACGAGGGGGCGGGAGGGCGAAAATGGTTCTGGCGGCAAATCCTTTCTGTCAACTGGCCCGAAGCACCCGACTCGACCAATGCAGGGAAAGAAAGTGAGAGACTTCAGCAGCCACCTGCCTAGGTATCTATCTTTGAGATGGGTAATCATCCCCTTTGCCTTGGTTTTCACTCTTCTCATTAACATTATTCTCCGAGCTAGCCAGGCATCCCTGGTTCTCGCAACCGCCCATGGCCGCCTGAGGTCCCAATGTGACGTGAAACATTTTCTTCTTGTTTCTCCAGCAAACGCTGTGTCGCCTGTGTCGGTCAATTCGCGGTCGCCCTCTTTCCCGTCCGTATGAATGATGACGGCTGTTTTCTTTAGTTTTGTTTCTCCTCCTCTTCCATCTGCCAACCCTTGTATCCCAACCCCGATTTGCAACTTTGGTTCTAACCCCTCTTTCTCGCAAATTGGTTGGGCCGCAGATTTCGATGCTACTGTCACGAATTGACTTGCCACGGGCCGCAGATGAATATTCTCTTCAACAACATGCATTCCAGTTGCGATGCTAACACGTCTCTGAAACCGTCTGGTTTGCCACAGAAATGTGTCTCGTGGCCGTGATAATACGGCAAGCGACTATGCTTTCCGCATAGCATGACCAGAGAAATTTGCTATTGGTCCTTTCCAGTCGGGTGTCCCCATCCCAGACTAACACTTTCAATTGTTTCCATCTGCACAACACTGTAAGACGACAAAAGCCGACCAACCACGACATCACTGTATGAAAGGTGACAACCCATCGTGTCCCTATCGGCCGCATTCGCAGAGCGGCCGCGCCCAGCCAGGGCCCTAGGGGCTAACTCCGGAGTGGACCGTCGCAAGATAAGCTTACCATTACATACAGATCCACACCCATGCCGATGCCAATGTCCATGTCCGCGCAATGCCCGCCCGTGTCCATGTTCATGTCTCAAGGACCTATGCCGTGGCATATTACAGAGATGCAATTGCTAGGAAATGCGTGGCCTAATTACCATCCTTGTCGCTTCCATCTCTATTCATGGACTCGCCCCATAATAGCCCTTGGTTCCTCTGTCGTCTGTAGACCCCCAAAGGCCGATGGGTTTTGCGAAAGAAAACAGCCTAATTGCAAGAAGCGACACGTTGGAATATCGGGTATGGGAAGGCTTTTTGACTTTACCTTATCGGCTGCAAGGGACGACAAGGGCAGCGATTCATTGGTTGACGATTACGCTACTTATCGACGCCTTCCAAGCAAGGAGTGACGCATGTCAGCCACAATATAACAAGATGGTCCAATGAGGCAGTCGGTACTGCATTCAAGGACTCTCAATTTCTTGTGTTGTCTTCTGCAGAGAATGCCGGCCTAGGTGGACATCGGTTTTCGAGGCGTTGCTTCTCTGACGCTTGCAGGAGTCCATGAGATTGTTGTTGTTGTTACTGTTGCTGTTCTATTTTACATAAGAACCAGCTGTCAACAGCTGGCTCGAAATGGACCATACAGCTGCTATTTGCGTCCATGAAATCACTAATTGCCGGACTATTACTTTACGCGTGACATCACGTCTACCTTCCACGCGTCTGACGCGCTGAACGTCATTGTGTCGTTCTCGACACTCACCATTACTTTGCCTCGACACTCCTGCTCTTCCCTGAGGTGTCTAGCCCATGAATGCGAGGGTTATGAGAGAGACGTCTTCTGTTCGATACTAATTGATCTTGCCTGTGACAGGACAGTAGCCTGGGCGTCACACAAGTGATGCAGCACTGGACATCAGTTTCCAAGCTTCGTAAAAATGGCCACAATCAAACCCATAGAGGGCCGCACAGTGAGCATCCTCCCTGGCATCTCATGCCTGACGGAAAGCCATCGTTGATCGTGCTAACGTTGTCTTACCCCTTGAAGGTCCACCAAATTCAGTCCGGCCAAGTCATCGTCGATCTCTGTTCCGTCGTTAAGGAATTAGTAGAGAACAGCATTGACGCCGGCGCTTCTAGCATAGGTACGGTCATTCAACGCTCACCCATCCAACCCCCTCCCCCCTGCCGGAAGCTTGCTAATTCTGATTTGTGTATTCACCTCCCCTAGATGTGCGCTTCAAGAACCAGGGGCTAGACTCCATTGAAGTCCAGGACAATGGCTCAGGCATATCTCCTGACAACTACGAGACTGTAGCCCTGAAGCATTACACCTCCAAGCTCTCAACATACTCCGACCTCGGTACCCTTCAAACATTTGGTTTCCGTGGGGAAGCCCTGTCGTCTTTATCTGCCCTGTCGCAGTTCAGCATTGTTACATGCATGGACAAGGATGTCCCAAAAGGCACCAAGCTTGACTTCGAGTCCTCGGGAAAGCTCAAAGAGACGCATGTTGTTGCCGCCCAGAAAGGCACCAACGTCATCGTCGAGAATCTCTTCCACAACCTTCCCGTGCGCCGCCGCGAGCTGCAGCGCAACATCAAGCGGGAATGGAATAAAGTCATCGCACTCCTGAACCAATATGCCTGTATCCAGACAGGTGTCAAATTCTCCGTATCGCAACAGCCCACAAAGGGCAAGCGCATTGTCCTCTTTTCTACAAAGGGCAATCCCACTACGCGCGAGAACCTTGTAAACATTTTCGGTGCCAAAACAATGACTGTTTTAGTCCCTCTCGACCTGGAGCTCGGGTTCGAGCCTACTAGTGGGCCTGCCTTGAAGTCAGCTGTTAAGGACAATCAGGTCTCTACCGAGGTGCGCGTTCAGGGCTACGTGAGTCGGCCGGCCCACGGGGAAGGTCGTCAGACACCTGATCGACAAATGTTCTTCGTCAATGGCAGGCCTTGCGGGCTGCCTCAGTTTGCCAAGGTCTTCAACGAAGTATACAAAGCCTACAACGCGTCGCAGTCCCCTTTCATATTTGCAGACATTCAACTTGACACCCACTTGTACGATGTCAATGTTAGCCCGGATAAGCGCACCATCATGTTGCACGACCAGAGCCGCATGTTAGAGTCTCTGAAGGAGGCTTTAGCATCTCTTTTCCAGTCTCATGACTACCCTGTTCCGGCCGCTCAGCAGTCAACGCAAAAGGCTCAGCCAAGCAGGATCGTGGCTGTTGCTCAGAACAACATCCCCGACAACGAGAAGGGAGGCCGGAAACCGGCAGCAAGCTCAACTCTTCATGATGGTTTCAGCTCCGAGTACGACAGCGAGGATGATGACCAACCTTTCCCTCGCGATAAGCGAAGAAAGAGGACTCGTGCCTCGAAAATCAGGAAGCTTACACCTGCAGACATCCAGTCACAGAACTTGATCAGCCGGTGGGTTGGACGAACAATAAACGATAAAAATGTAGCACGCGAGGAACGAGAGACACCATCTCATTCTAGGGATTCTCCTGCGAATGAAACAAGCATAAAGAACCCGCCGGCGCTGCGCTCATCCGATGCGTCTGGGTTGGAAAACGAAGCAGCTGGGGACACTCCTAGTTCTCCGGCGACCCCACCTGAAGCTCGCTCTGTTACTACTAAGACACCTCAGCAAGTCCTTGACTTCAACGCTCGACTTGCCGAAGCCGTCGACAATGATGGCACAGCCATGTCTCCCATCGATAGCTCGCGACTTGGTACTAGGACCGAACGTAAAGAACAAGCCCAAATACCGGCCATAACACCTCTTCGAGCGCCGCGAGATGGGCATCTTGCGCCTACACTGGTCCCTCGGCTACCTAAGCGGTCAGCTCCGGAGGTTGCGACTGTGACCATTGGCGAAAGTACGGTCACAGGCTCTATTGAGACCACGCCCAAGAGAACCAGAGTTAGGTCAGAGATGTCGTCTTTGCCAGGGCTGGCATCAAAGACGACTGCATTCAAACCATTGACGATTTCTGCGACAGCGAAATCCTCTTTTGGCTCGCACCTATCCCAGATGTTTTCAGCAAACCAGTCGGTTCGGCACGGAAAGAAAAGCCAAGAAAGTGTCACATTATCAACGCAAGCCGATTCTAGTATAGATGCCGACTCGGATAATGAAGGGTCTAGTCAGGGCAATCGGCCGAATGGTTCACCCCTGGACGAGTCGATGGACGATGCTACTGTCGAGAAAGTCCTAGCACCTTCTGGAGTCCTCGATGAGCTCACAAATCCGACTACCAATTCAGGTGTAGAGTCGCCTGAGCCCAGCGATGGATTGGCGGTGGTATCGACAACGGACAATGGTGAAAAGCAAGATTTGTCCAGACAAGCCAAATACGCAGATCACAGGTCAAACATTCTCAAGGGGGGTATCAAACGAAAGGACGCCACTTTACAGCATAATCAAGACTTGAAGACTGATGCAGCAGGCCTGCAGGCCCGCATCCATGTATGGAAAGCGGAACTAGATCGCGCCACCCCGCCGCGGAGCCGCTCTGCAATGGCCTGCGGTATCGAGGCAGACGATGCTGAAGAAGTTTTATCCCTGATCATATCGAAATCAGATTTTGCCAAAATGACCATTGTCGGCCAGTTCAATTTAGGATTTATCATTGCGGTCCGTAACGCGACGAGAGACGGGGAGGGAGATCCATCGGGGGACGATGAGTTGTTTATCATCGACCAACATGCGTCAGATGAAAAATATAACTTTGAGAGGCTGCAGTCGACGACGGTCGTCCAGTCACAACGTTTGGTGCACCCAAAACAACTAGAGCTCACGGCTTTGGAGGAGGAGATAGTCATGGAGAACATTTCAGCCTTGGACGTCAACGGGTTCAAGGTTAGTGTAGACAGCTCAGGCAGTCAGCCGGTAGGGTCTAGGTGCAAGCTTCTCGCTCTCCCCCTGAGCCGCGAAACGACCTTCACGCTGTCCGACCTCGAAGAACTCATCTCTCTGCTGGGTGACCACCACTTAACCGAGGCCCGCTCGTCGGCCCCTCGGCCATCCAAGGTGCGTTCCATGTTCGCCATGAGAGCGTGCCGCAGCAGCGTTATGATCGGAAAGGCTTTGGCGCAGAAACAAATGGAGAAACTCATTCGCCACATGGGCGAGCTGGACAAGCCTTGGAACTGTCCGCATGGGCGACCAACAATGAGACACTTGAGCGGGCTTGGTCCCTGGGACGATAAGGGGTGGAGAGAAGCCGAGCCTCGGGTCAACTGGGCTAGGTACGCTCAGAGTTGAGCAGCAGTTACGTTTGGCGATGTAATAATATCAAGATGTCGCCGCTCGGGGGAGCTCGACCGGGCCTCGTAGGATGTAGTTCTTGGTCATTAATACAAGCAGAAACTGAGGCAAGCGTTTTGTAGTAGCCAGAAATGTTGATGTTCGTTGCATAACTGCAAGCTAAGAGATTGAGAGCGGTCAAGAGACACGGGCTGTTTCAATCGATATCGGCTCCAACCCACTGAATTCCAGCAAGCCTCTAATTTACATCACGTCGTTCGTAACACAGTGGCCCGCACCAGGTATCAACATGGCCTGTTTTCTCCTCGGTGTCCTGACGAAGCTGCCTTACCATACAGTCACACTCGACGTTGGCGTCGTGAATGTGCCATCAAATTCCATACGAACTCCGAAACAAGATACCCTAATCTGCACCATTCGCTTCCATTCGTTGCCAGCGTCATTTTTGACCGAATAACCCTACATAACACTATAGCGCGAGTAGCCGCCATTTGGCACGGCAAGGCCTTCTTCGGCAACCTTACTACTCACATTGCGTCGTCCATAGGCTGAAGAGTACTGGTTCTTCTCGAAGTCGTTTCCAGATGACACCACTCGGTTGCTTCCGATCATGACGGGCGGTGTAGCAGGCTTCAGCTCGCCGTAGGGCTTCGAATAGAAATCGGACTCGGGCTGGATGGAGCTATCGCGATTTCGTGGCCAGGCACCAGGGGCGAGCGAGGAAGGCGTTTCGTCGGCAATATCAAACGTACCGCTAGCCCTTCCTGAATTGAGGTCCACCTCCGACAATGCGGTATCTTTCAGAGAGTAATATGGCGTCTTGGTTCTTGGCGGAGTGGCGTGAGGGTTGGATGCCAATGGGTTTGGGTGTGATATGTTTCCGACGTCGTTCTCGAAGTCGCTGCCGACGAGGTCATCCTCGTCACGCTCTGAGTCAGAGTTGTCTGCGGCGTAGGATTGGCCGAGCGCCTCGTACGCCTTGTTGTTTTTTCTCTTCTGCTCCGTCACGAGTGCAGCATCCATAGCACGATTCCGTTTCTGTGTGCGTGAAATAAGTGAGTCCGTTGCGAACCAGGTCTCTGTAAATTTTCCGGCGTTGCGGCCATCGCCCTGAGACGCCAGCATCGCAGCGGAGGAAATAGGTGATCGGGATGACTGAGCATTCGTTTCGTGAAGCGGGACTTCAGTATAGGAACCACGGTATGAGGAGCGAGGTGCAGACATACGCGCATACTCGCTGATGCCTGCCGAGTTGCGTGGAGGATTACCCGGGGTGATCTGGTATTGGCGGCCAGGCGAATCGGCGAGGGAGTCGCGGTTGAAGCTGGATGCGTCGGAGCCGGCTCGTGTGCGCTGGAAGGGGATACTTGGAGGTCGAGATACATCCTCATATGGGGCACCCGATCGGCGCCGATCCTCGAGGGGGGTTGACATTCGCTTCTCGCTATCGCCGCTTACAGATGTCGCAATACTGGATTTGTTTTTCTTGTGCTTGGCGCGGGTTGTGAGATGGTCTTCCAGGGGATTCATGTCCGGAGGCATCTGGGAAATCTTGCGGAACATAAAGCCAAGCCAAATAGAGATGCACAAGGAAATGAGGTGCAGGCTCCCAGCACTGATGAATGTGTAAAAGATAGCAGGGACGAAATAGTCTAGCAGGCTTTGGTCGGCAAGCCGCGTCTTCCATGCAGCGCCACTGCTGTGCGCATTAAGAGCACCGTATGCGTATAAGGGCATAATGCCTAGATCCGAGATGCTGGCGAACAGCTGATAAGCGGTAGAGGAAGTCGGGCTACGACCACCGGCAGGTCTCTGCAAGTGATAGACGGCATACAGGCAGTGCACTGTAGCGACACCCAGCTTTGAGGTTGTTAGCTCTATAGCGTGAAGAAGACATGGCAGATGTGAAGAACAAACCGTAATACGCATGACCCAGCTGGCGAGGGTTTCAATGTTGGTCAGCAAAATGAGCAGAGCAAGGAGCCCAGCGGCTCCGATGAGTTCGACGACTCTCAGGCCCAGCTGAACGAGCCGAATGGACTTGATCCAACTTTTCATCCTTGGACTGAGAGAGACATAGTTGTTGGATCGATGAGAAAGCACCAAGTGTGCACTGAAATGCCACGGTCAGTCAGTACTCTTTTTGAATGTTCCGACGGATACACTGAAGACTCTAAACGAGATGAACTCACTCGGGATGGCGATTGAAGACAATGAGAGGTCCTTCAGGCTTCGGTATGCGTGGTTTCGGTTCCCAGCTCGCTCGAGTCACGGCCTTAGGGTCAAACTTGGGCTCGGGAAAGCGGGCGTCGCGGTCATGGCTCACAACATTGTAGAGGTACGGCGGGTGAGCCATTGTCGCGGCCCTCTTGTTGTCTTGCTAGTCGAAGAGGGTAAAGTGTCGGGAATGCGCGAGTGGACTCAGTGTCCTGGCTGGAGTGACACCAGCTCAGCGAGTAACCGGGCCGAATCCGATGCGGTCGGGACTCGGTCTCTCTCTCTCTTTCTCTCTCTTTTTCTCCTTCTCTCTTGATCTGTAAGCCTTTGCCTCGTAATGGATGGGCAACGTTAACGAAGGAGGAGGATGCACAGCTAGATGATGGTAGTGAGAACGGCGAGATGAGGTAGTTTAAGAGTAGAATAATACAGTCCAAGACCACAACTAGGCACAATCAAGTCAAAGCGGGTCGAGGCAAGCCGGACAGATACCTCAAGCTCGGTACCTACAGTGCAACGCATCACCGTCATCAAGTTGTTTGGTCGCAGACAGAGGTTGCTACGGGAACGCAATGTAGTAGACCTCGGACTTGGCTGCAGCGCTGAAAGTTGTCAACCTCTCACTGGCCAAGGAACCATAGCGCGGGAGGTAAGACGGGATATCCACCGACTCCCCCCGGGCACTAGACCGCGATTGGCAAAGTGTTTAGCGCTTGAACCAGGCCTCCATGTCAGACAAAATTCGGTTGGAATCAACTTTGTTTGCAACAACTCCTATCTGAGCCTGTGATTTAATCGCTGCAACCGCCGCAAGGGACGAGCCGATCTTTTGTTATAGATAGTTACTGCGTAATTTCTCGGCTCTGGTTGCGTTATACCCTAGTTTGTACATGCAGCACGCTAACTTCTTTGGTCGTGCAGCTTCTGCATCGATATTGATGATCCGGAGACATCCGCCAGCATTCTACCACTGCCAGTCCCGCCCGCCGCCACAAGTCCGAACTCCGGGGGTTTTATCCGACAGCTTTCACCAAGACGCACTCAGTTTGACACCAATAGTCTACCACTCATTTTCTTATTATTCTTTCCTCCCAGATCGGGCTTAGCCCCCATCATCCAATTCCGTCTGACGAGTCACATCACCAAGTGCTATCGCTTGCAAGTGGTTTTCAACCGAAAACTGATTGGGCGGCCGAGTTTTTTTTTTCTGTTTTTCTTTTTTGATCCCGGCCCTTAACAACCACCATCATTGTCATGCTGCTATCCCGAGCCCGGTCCCGGTCGGGTCCTGTATGTAGCCATGTTCGGCCTCCGGTGGGCTCCAGCGGCCCCGGCTTCCGTCCGATGAGTACAACTACTCCTGCAGCGAGGCAGACACGTGGATCTGACACCCCTTTCCGCCTGGCTGTCGTCGGTTCCGGACCCGCCGGCTTCTATGCCTCTTACCGCGTTATGTCACAACTCCCGCAAACCAGGGTCGACATGTACGAAAGGCTGCCCGTGCCTTTCGGCCTCGTTCGGTTTGGAGTCGCCCCGGACCATCCCGAGGTCAAGGTTGGACCTCTTACAATGCCAACTGCAACATGCGCGCGCCACTGACAGAGGCCAGAATTGTCAAGGAAAGTTTGAGGAAGTTGCGAGCTCGCCCACCTTTTCCTTTATGGGTAATGTATCCATAGGCGACTCCGGTCTTCACCATGAAAGCTGTACTATTCCATTTCCCACACTATTGCGGAACTACGATGCCGTGTTGCTGGCATACGGGGCTGCGAAAGACAGAATTCTCGGCATACCTGGAGAGTCTGACCTCCATGGCGTGTATTCGGCCCGCCAGTTTGTCGGTTGGTACAATGGGCTTCCAGAATACGCCGGACTGGCACCAGATCTTTCGAAGGGCGAGGAAGCCGTCATCATAGGCCAGGGCAACGTGGCTCTGGACGTTGCCAGGATGCTCCTCGAAGATATTGACATTCTACGGCGAACTGACATCACGGAACAGGCCCTGGCTCAACTTGCGACATCTCGTGTCAAACGGGTCCGTATTGTTGGAAGACGTGGATTAATGCAGGCGAGTGTGATGGCGAGCTTGACGATGGCAGGGAACTCTAGCTGACGCTTTAGTTCAGGCCGCCTTTACCATCAAAGAGATCAGAGAGCTGATGAAAATCCAAAACATTGCCTTTCATTCCGTGGACAGAACCTTGGCCCCCCCAGACATCAAGTCGCTACCCAGAGCAGCGAGGCGCTTGATGGAGGTAGTCGTCAAGGGATCCACGGCCCTCCCAGACAATGTCGACAAGTCATGGTCGCTTGACTTTTGCTTGAGCCCTATTGAGTTCCGGGCCAGTGAAACGGTCCCTTCTGATGTTGGGAGCACCGTCTTTGAGCGGACCGAACTGTCTCACAAGTTCGACCCTGGTGCTCAAGCACGCCTTACAGGGGAAACACTGAGATTGCCTTCGGACTTGGTCTTCCGGTCTATCGGTTACAAGTCCGTACCCTTGCCAGGGTTCAAGGAAGCCGGTGTGGCATTCGACGATCGGCGAGGCGTTGTCATGAACGACGGTCGCGGCAGGGTTCTTAACATAGATCAAGCTGAAGTCTCTGACTCGATCCAGTCAGGAATAGCAAATGGCATATACTGCGCCGGGTGGGTGAAGCGAGGCCCAACCGGCGTCATTGCTTCAACAATGCAGGACGCCTTTGAGACAGGCGACTCGATTGTGCAGGACTGGCTATCTGGCTTGCAATTTCTCCCTCAAGTCAACGCAAAACCCGCTGCTGGCTGGGATGGCGTCCGGGCGGAGATTGGCGAGTCTGCATCTAAAAGGATTGGATGGGACGATTGGCATAGAATAGATGACGCAGAGAAGGAAAAGGGTCGAGCCGCAGGCAAGGAGCGGGAGAAGTTTACGTCAACGAAGGCCATGCTCGAGGTTCTATCGTAAACAGCCACGCCAAGTCGTGTAAATCAGGTTTGGGGGGAAACCAGTCAGCCACCCGCAAAGAAGAAATTTAACCCATTTCTGTACATTACAAAATCATTGCTGCTTAATCTTCTCAGTCAACTCGGGTACCTTGTCAAACAGATCGCCAACCAGTCCCACATCCGCCACTTGAAAAATTGGAGCGTCCGCATCTTTGTTGATAGCTGCAATAACTTTGCTGTCCTTCATACCCGCCAAGTGTTGAATAGCACCGGAGATGCCGACGGCCAAGTACAGCTGAGGCGCAACAACCTTGCCAGTCTGGCCAACCTGAAGGCTGTTGTCGGCGTAGCCACTATCGACAGCAGCTCTTGAAGCACCGACAGCAGCACCCAGAGAGTCGGCCAGGGGAAGCATGACCTTGTCAAACTCCTCCTTGGACTTGAGACCTCTGCCGCCAGACACAACCTTGCTAGCAGTTGAGAGGTCCGGCCTGTCAGACTTGGCAAGGTCCTCCGACACCCACTCGGTAGTGGACTGAGACTTAGGGTCAACGCCATCCTCGACCGCAGCCGAGCCGCTGGCGACTTCTGCGGCGGAGAAGGCCGTGCCGCGAATCGTGACAATCTTGATAGCATCGGAGGATTCAACGGTTGCGATGGCGTTGCCAGCATAGATGGGACGGACGAATGTGTTCTCGTTCTCAATGGAGGTGATGTCGGAGATTTGCTGCGAATCCAGGAGGGCGGCAACGCGAGGCATCAGGTTCTTGCCAAAGGCAGTGTGTCCGGCGATTATGTGAGTGTATCCGCCCTTCTTGATGTTCTCAACCAAGAGCGGCGCATAGTTCTCGGGCAGGCCCTAAACATAAGATTTGTGTTAGTAGCCTATTTTTGTTGTGTTCTTCTTTTCTTTCCTGTAATGGGCAATGCCGACCTTGTCATAAGCGGCGTTTTCAACCGCAATGATCTTCTCAACACCCTCAACCTTGGCCGCCTCATTGGCAACACCCTTGATATTGCTTCCCGCCACGAAGCCATGGATGGGGCCACCCAATTTCTTCGCAGCAGTGATGGCGCTCAAAGATCCATGATTCAACTTTCCCTCCCTCTGCTCCAGAATCGCGAGGGTGGAAAGCAGATGTCTTGCCGACCTAGATCGGAACCCCAAAAGCCCACTTGACGCCGCAGCAGCCCCGCTGGCAGCGGCTCTTCGAGCAAGAAAGAGCATCGTCGCTTGCGCAAGCAAATTTGAAACGTACTATGTAGATCGTACTCGGCGTGGAGGGGCAATTGACGAGGCTCGGCGTGAACTGAGAGACTCTGGATGAGTGATGTGCAGGACTGCAAGTTGTAGAGGAGCGGTTGGACACGGCCCGAGGTTACTACGCCGAGTTCGCATGAGGCCTTCCAGCTGCTAAAAGTGCCGTCATCAATGTCAGTGTTGCTGATAGGTTGAACCCAGGGGTGCACTTAGTGCAAGCTGAGTCGCGTCGATTGTTCATTTGGCCTGAGGAAGGAGCACTGGATGACCGCTGGAATCTTACCAAGTACGGTATCTCCACGTGACTCGCTGCATATCACGTGGTAGGCTGGCCAGAGCGCTCCGCTTGCCGCTTCCTGCCGTTTACAGCGAGAGGTGTGCATTGAACGGGGCTAACTCTCAGAGAGTCGCCCTTTGGAGCAGTTCCCTCCAAAGCATCGCGCCAAAATTTCTCCAGGTCTGACGCGACTCCATAACCACCCGAACTCGTCAACGTTCATCGAAACCACGCGCTTTTGGAGGGGCAACAACTGTGGGCTCCATCATCCATCAACCAATTTCAATAGTTGTATGCCGTAGGTTGATTCATTCGTGCAATCTGCACCCCATTCTGCGCGACGCGGTGTCGAGCATCTTCGCGACTTTTTGTCCATCTTGATGCTCGCTTGCTCCTGAGTTTATTTTACCAGAAATCACTATGGAGGACCAATCGAACTACGGAATCTCCAACGCCGCCTCTCCTGGCAGCAACCCAATCCTTTCGCAACCGCCTCTGCAACCTGTTGCGTCCGCGGCAGGTGACGCAGCTGAAGGTACGTGACAGCGTCGTTCTGAATGGCAATGTCATTGCCAAGGCTTCGGACGCCATCTAATAATCTTGTTACAGACGTCCAGATGACCGAGGGCTCTATCGCCGAACCCGATATAAAGCAGGACAGAGCAACACCTGCACCAGGTGTCGCGTCTGACAACCCCTTAGATGCCCCCGATGGGCCCGCGCCTGAGGCTACCCAGGACGAAGAAATGGGTGGTTCTCGCGACGAAACTAAAGATGGCCAGGCTGTGGCGAAGGATGGCGACGACGCTGCTACCGGCAATGATGTTGACGGGCAAGATTCTAAGACCAAGGAGACCCTTGAATCCGCAGCTCGGGAGCATCTCATCTCGCAAACGCACGCCATAGTCCTGCCGAGCTATAGTACCTGGTTTGACATGAACACCATCAACGACATTGAGCGTAAGGCCATGTCTGAGTTCTTCAACAGTCGCAATCGCAGCAAGACCCCTGCCGTCTACAAGGACTACCGCGACTTCATGATCAATACTTATAGACTGAACCCTGTGGAATACCTCACTGTCACGGCCTGCCGGCGTAACTTAGCTGGAGATGTTTGCGCCATCATGCGCGTTCACTCCTTCCTTGAGCAATGGGGATTGATCAACTACCAGGTACATATTTCCATGATACACGCGCATTTTACAGCACGAACTAACGTGATTGCAGGTCGATGCGGAGCAACGACCTTCGCACGTTGGCCCTCCCTTCACTGGTCACTTCAAGATCATCTGCGACACACCCCGTGGTCTACAGCCCTGGCAACCATCTGCCGATGCTGTCGTTTCGACTGGGAAGCCAAACGCCGACACCGAAAAGAAGGCTACAGCAACTCCTATTGCCAAGGGCGATCTCAACTTGGAAGTCAGCCGGAACATTTACGAGGCAAGCGCCAAGGGAACGAAGCTCAACAAAACGGAGCCTAAGACCAATGGCGAAACACCTGTGACTAATGGCATCTCGGGTGTTGAAGAGGCTACGAAGACGCCCATTGTCAAGGTCAACTGCCACACCTGCGGCATCGACTGCACCAGGTTATATTATCACAGCTCGCAGGCCGATCCTAACTCTAAGACCAAGTATGATGTCTGCCCAAGCTGCTATCTCGAGGGCCATCTTCCCGGAAACCAGACCAGCGCTCAGTTTACCCGCATGGAGAATCCCACCTATACAACTGTCCTCGATCGCGACGCGCCCTGGAGCGATGCTGAAATCCTACGGCTACTTGAGGGCATCGAGAGGATGGATGACGATTGGAATGAGATTGCGGACCACGTTGGCACCCGAACGCGCGAGGAGTGCGTCTTGCAGTTCCTGTCTCTGGATATCGAGGGCAAGTACGCGGACTCAGACCTCGCCGTGAATGCCCCAACCGGCCTTGCGATGCTCGGACAGCAGGGCGGTCATCTGCCTTTCAGTCAGGCGGACAACCCCGTCATGTCCGTTGTCGGCTTCCTCGCAGGTCTCGCAGACCCTGCCAGCACGGCTGCAGCAGCTAATAAGTCAGCGGAGGAGCTAAAGCGCAAGCTTCGTAGGAGACTCGAGGGCGATAGCTCTGAGGAGCAGGCCGCCACCAATGGCAAGGGCAAGGATAAGGATGGTGACTCTATGGATATTGATATCCGACAAGACGTCACGACCACGACCACGACCACGACAACAACGACGACTTTAGCGACTATTCCTATGGCCACGATGGGTGCTCGCGCTGCTGGCCTTGTATCACACGAGGAGCGTGAAATGACGCGGCTAGTCTCTGCTGCAGCAAACCTTACGTTGCAGAAGCTGGAGCTGAAATTAAAGTACTTCAACGAGATGGAAGCTATCCTTCAGGCAGAGCGGAGAGAGCTCGAGCGCGGCCGGCAACAACTGTTCCTGGACCGTCTTGCATTCAAGCGCCGTGTCCGAGAGGTGCAGGATTCACTGAAGACAGCCGTCGAAACTGGTGGGGATCAAGGCCTGAAGCTGGCGCAAGATGTGATGACAGATGGTGCCAACCTCACATTCCAGGCAGCGCCTGGGCCCGGGGCGGTGCAGCCACTGAGCAGTGAAGGACAGATCAAGAGCTTCGAGGCCTAAATTTGGTGTCTCTTTTCTGGCCGGGGTATCTTGGGTCATGACAGTGACAAGGCCGAGTTGTAGTGGGTCTGTCACTGTTCGTGTCCGCACGTGCGGCAGACGGGGAGGAGTGTTTTCTTTCCAAGGGATTTAGGTTGACGCAGACCAGGAAACGGCATGAATAATTGCGGTGAGTTCATCAAATCCGGGTGATTTTGGGCGTCGGAGGGGTTTCAATCTGCTGGGCGACTTATCGTCGCCTTGTACAAATGTATTAGATAGTCATGTTACCCAGTCACATTTGCTGTCATTGGCGCACTTTGGTCCGTCAACGTGCTGTTGACGGTCCATGTAAGCCGTCTATTACTGGTCCACTGCTTGACGTATGTGGGAGATACAAGCATGATTCATCGGCGATCTGAACTGGCCAGCCCATGATTCGATCTGCGGGTCATGCTGGTCAAAGTTGTGCCCATGCCAGAGGTGTTGAAGGTCTATTGTGATTGTCGTGATAATTGGAGTGTATTGTCACATGCAATGTGGATATTAGACACATGCAAAGAGTTTTAGATATAGAGAGGGCAAGCCACGCTACTTGTGTTGCCATTTGTGCTGTAGCTACCACGTACCTTTCAACGTTAAGATGGTTCGTAACTGGGAACAGGCACGCCAAATTGGAATCGGATGCGTACTAACATCGCCAAGCGAAAAGCTGCAGTCAGGTGGCACGGGAAGGATGTCTTTTTCACCTACTCCTTCTAAATCCTTCCTTTCCCGCCCGCCACTCCATACAAGCTCGACAGCCTAGGCTGATGGAAGGAATAAAATGCGGAACATGACGAGAAAGTGGAGCAAGGTCAGGTTGCGCATCGTCGTGTCTATGATCACCCGTGATAGGGAAGCGCGGGGGAATATTAGGCCCGTTCGTCCGGGACGTGGTTAGACTCGTGGGCTTCGCTGGAACCTCCGTTGGTCCAGTCCGACCCAGTCCGGTCGTGTACTCCTGTCCGCTGCACCGCAGAAGTGCAGCAGAGCTGTCTTGGCAAAAGGCTTCTCGATTCCTACCCCTCTCGCTTTTCGCAGATGGTCCGGACCCCCTATTGACGCAATATGTTGGATTTGGGCTAAATGGAATCCTGCCGAGGCTCGAATGACATAGAGATAGATGGGGAGTGTTGCAGGTCATGGCTCTAGACGAGTAGGGAGGCAGACAACGAGCTGAAGTGTTCTCGAGAGGGCTGGTCCCGGGGAACGGGAACGGGCCTGCTCAAGTACCTACCTAGGTGGTTTTCGCCCGATGCATACCTACCATGTACTTAGTTGGGTTCCTATGTACAAGTCAATCGAATGACGCTTAGGTAAGTCCGCCTAAAGCCTATGCTCATCGTTGTGGCTGGCGATGAATCTTTTCTCGTGCATGGAAGAGCGGAGTATACTCGGCACAAAAAGTACGGGGTAAAGACGCGCAACCACCCCTGTTTTACCTCGGCTCAAGCGAATATCCCACCGTTGCCGGCTGCATCGCACGCGACCGAGGAAACCTGCATTACCTAGCAAGGCCGCAATGCAAAGGGGTCATCCAGGAGGCAGTGTACTGATGTGTTTGGATTCTCGAACAGGTACATGAGGGTTGTTGCATGGGTTCAAAGCCTAGATACGGGGGCCCGAACTGTCATCTGTTGCGTTTGCACATTCCCCCATTTCCACCTCCGCCGGACACTGAACCGTGTAAGGCCATCAGGTACCTAGGTGAGTAGGTAGTAGGAAAGGTTCTGCGCAATGTAAGCCCCGGCATCCGGACCGAGTCAATGTATTCCAGCGCGGACAGTGCCTCAGAGGAAAGGAAGAGAGGATTAAGGGGGGAGACAAGAAATGAGGGTGCGCCCAAGGCCAACACCATCATCACACGTACATACCCAGCCTACGCCGACTTTTCTCTTGTTCCCTCCCTCTGCCTTCCTCTTTTCTCTCCTGTCTACTTTCGCTCCATCTCCGTTTGTCCCTTCCTTCGATGTTTCTCGGGCTAAGTTGGCAAGAAGTTCCATCTGGCTGCGTTACACCTGAGTTCTTTCACCTCGGCACGACTGAAGACCCATATCCCCACGCCGTCTTCCCCACATCATCATCAACCTTTACCTAGGTACCTACCTAGTTTACGCTAGGTAGCCACCCTGTCACCTGCTGCCGTTGGCCACCCATTCTATCCTTCAACTACACCTCGGGAGTCCGGCCATCGACCATACGATTCACTAACTATCCGTACCTTCCTTGGAGAAAACCAAGTAAAGCTATCCCAAGCCGAGGAGGTATCGTCGATAAGCGACACTTCTTCTTCTTTGCAGGAATACGCTCCGTCGCTAGATTTCCTCACCACCGAGAGCTTGAAGCAGCACATGGGCAATCCCCATACCCCGTTCCCCCAAATCCCCATAGCCGACCCCCCTGTACTGAGCTGTAACCGCGTGCTTGACTCCTCTCCCTTGGCTCCTCCACCAACCTAAGTGGGAGAGAACAAGGATTCGAAAGGTACCTCGCCCTTGACACACACTAAACACCAACCCCCAACCACGCACCCTTGCTCGATTGACATAATAAAGCCAGTCCCGCGTGGCATCTGGCTTTTTTGGCTTGTGACAAGCAGCTACTTGCAGTCCATTCTTTCTTGGGCTCTTTTTCTACCTGTCGCCCACAACGGCTAGCCTAGCCTCCGCTCCGATCCACTCCGAAAGCTGACTGACTAGACTTGCTGCCGCTGCCGTCTACCGTCTGTCCTACCGCGGATCTTTCTGCGGCTACGTGTGCCACTGCAACTGCAACTGTTTGGACACACCAACCACACACGACTACCACCACCACCACCACCACACGTCTTCCCTCTTCAAGAACTGGTCATGTCGGCCGCTCTACGAGCTTTGGAGGCTAGGTCTGCCACGGTACGAACGTCGTCCTGGAGAAACCTAAGGTTCAATCGTCCTGTAAGTTGTCTTCCTACACTTTGCCTGGCGCACTGCTCCCGAGTCCATATATCCTCGGCTCAGTCCCATCATCCTTGATCCCACCCCGCTCCGCTTGTTTGACTGGCTCCATCCGTTGTTTTTGGCGTCTCTTCCCACAGACACCTGTCGCCTCTTTTGCTTCTTTCCCCAATTTGTGCCCTCGAACACTCCATTGACCTTACCCCAGACCTTTGCAACAGCCATGTCGTCCACCACGAAACGGAACAGCAGTTCTCTTCCTTCCGGTACGTTTCGCTGCCTCTTGTTGCGTCTCTGCAACGTCACCAATCCGATCCAAGCGTTGCAAACCCGTGCAGTTAACCGTTCTCGGACCGTCCTCGGGCGCCATGATTTGCTTTGAACAAAAATGGCTGACGTTTGCTCGCACGCAGGATATGCTGAGGATAAGTCCAAGGGCCCTATGTTGAGATTCCAAGACTCTCTGCCCCGACTACCTGTGCCTACGCTCGAAGAGACGGCCGCGCGCTATGTCAAGACACTACACCCCCTTCTCTCCGAGTCCGAGTTCGCCGCCAGCAAAAAGGCCGTGGAAGAATTTGTCAAGGCCGGCGGTATCGGCAGCAAGCTCCAAGAAAAACTGCTGGCCCGGAGAGAAGACCCTGCCAACCGTAACTGGCTGTACGAGTGGTGGAATGACGCGGCATACCTGAGCTACAGAGACCCTGTCGTTCCCTACGTCAGCTACTTCTACTCTCATCGTGATGATCGTCGGAGAAGGAACCCTGCCAAAAGAGCCGCCGCCATAACCTCGGCTGTACTCGAGTTCAAGAAGCAAGTCGATGACGGCACCCTCGAGCCCGAATACATGAAGAAACTGCCCATCTGCATGGACAGCTACAAGTGGATGTTCAACACGAGTCGTGTTGCCGCAAAGCCTGTCGACTACCCCGTCAAGTTCTCCCACAAGGATCATAAGTACATCATTGCCATCCGCAAGAACCAGATCTTCAAGATACTACACGAGGTCGACGGCAAGCAGCTCAATGCCTCGGAGCTCGAACAGCAGTTCAACAAGGTTTACGAGCTGGCTCAGAGAGTCCCTGCCGTTGGCGCGTTGACCAGTGAGAACCGTGACGTCTGGGCCGATGCGCGCGAGATTTTGCTCAAGGCTAGCCCGAAGAATGCTGCTGCCTTGGAAGTCGTCGAAGCGTCTTCCTTTGTCGTCTGCCTTGACGATGCCGCTCCTGTCACTCTCGAGGAGCGTGCGCGCCAATATTGGCATGGCGATGGTGCGAACCGCTGGTACGACAAGCCGTGCCAATTCATCGTTAATGACAACGCTACTTCGGGCTTCATGGGAGAACACTCTATGATGGATGGAACCCCCACACATCGCCTTAACGACTTTATCAACGATCTCATATTCAACAACAAGATTGATCTCTCTGACCCGTCGATCCGCTCTAACCTGCCGGACCCTCAGGTCGTCAAGTTTGAAGTCACCAAGGAAGTCCAGGCCGAGATTGACCGCGCCAGGAAGGACTTCCATGATGTCATTAGCCAGCACGAGCTCGCCGTCCAGGCCTACCAGGGCTATGGCAAGGGCCTGATCAAGAAGTTCAAGTGCTCGCCCGATGCCTATGTCCAAATGATCATTCAGCTAGCCTACCATAAGATGTACGGCAAGAACCGCCCTACGTACGAGTCGGCCGCTACTCGCCGCTTTCAGCAAGGCCGTACCGAGACGTGCAGAACGGTATCGGATGCCTCTGTTGCTTGGTGCAACGCTATGGCCGACCCCAATGTCGAAGATAAAGACAAAGTCGACCTGTTCCGCCAAGCTATTGACTCGCACCTCGAGTATATCACGGCTGCTTCAGATGGCAAAGGCGTCGACAGACATCTCTTTGGCTTGAAAAAGCTCCTAGAGCCTGGCCAAGAGCTGCCGGCCATCTACCAAGACCCTGCCTTCACGTACTCGTCTTCCTGGTATCTGTCGACTTCGCAGCTCAGCTCCGAGTACTTCAACGGATATGGATGGAGCCAGGTCATTGATGCCGGGTTCGGCATTGCCTACATGATCAACGAAAACAGGTATGACAGGAAACTTATTTACTGCATTGTACTCTCCAAGCGGTCAGCTAACTGGCACAATTCTCACAGTATCAACTTCAACGTTGTCTCCAAGGGTCTGGGCAGCCAGCGCATGAGCTTTTTCCTGAACGAGGCTGCGGGCGATATGCGCGATCTTCTCACTCCCACCATCAAGGCAGCCAAGGCTAAGTTGTAAGAACCGAAAAAGAAGTATAAGAGTAAGCATGGAGCTAGAGGCGGAGAACCTAGTCAGGGCCGAATGAAGCAGGGAGAGAGAGAGAGAGCGTGTGTGTGTGTGTTGTCCCGGACGAGTCCTGAATCTGCGATTTGTATGTGGGCGGTCAGTTTTGTTTGACATCGATACAGTAGAAGCATTTCCGCAACGTGATAGACGTGACAAGTGGTGTCGGCACCACGGCGATCAGTTTGGTTGTTTTTGTTATAAATATTCCCATCATCTTATATTTTCACCGTCTTACATCATATATCGCCAATGTACATGTCATGCCAGCATTGGCATTGGCGGCAGCGAAAGCCGGGCCATGTTCCACTCCATCTTATTTCTACCACCCATCAACTTAGTAAGTATAGAGGGGAAACGCTTGGCAGGGCGCTGAAAATGTACGCTGATCTAACCCGAAAAGAAGGCAAACTCAGGAGGATGAAGATAAGGGTGACAACGGGGTCAACGAGACGCCATTGACAATTCTAAACAACCACCAGTGTTACTTGAGTGGGGAACCCAGGTCTTCATCTGGAAACCGCCCCTTTCACTGCCAACGCTGACTCCCATAGCCCTATATGCGGCAATAATCAAATCGTCCGACCTCATCCAGAATGACTGACAATCTCGTTAACGAGGTCGCCCTGGCTTTCATCGTAGTAGGAGCAGATTTGCGATGGCAGGGGCACTTCCTTGTAGTCCTCGTCTTCCCCTGAAATAATGTTGAGGTTGATGCCGGAGGACTTGCTCGAGAAAATCTTGGTCCCCGTACTCTCTTTGCTAAAGTAAACTTGAGCGCCGTCAATTGAATCCATCAATACAGCCGGTACAGCCCCCATAACCTGCAACGCAAAGTTCTGAGACTTGATGACGTCCACCGTGGACACCAGAGATTCCACAATCAGCGACAGGCGGCTCGAATTCTCAATGGTGACAGCATTTGCCTTGCCCTTGACAATGATGGTGGTGTTGCTGCACTTGCTGATCAAAATAGAGTGGGAGATGGATGCATCGATCTCGATAGGCTCAGGCTCCTTTTCAAAGTTTTCCTAGAACCGACAGGTCAGTTTTCGCGTTACACTACGACTGGGTTGACAGGGCAGCCCATACGATAGTCCACTTATTGCCCTCGAGCACCTTCTTTGGCGGCTTCTTGACGCGCATGCTTTCCGGCTTGGGCTTCTTGCCCGGAGCAGGGCTCTTGCCACGCACTGAGCCCTCTCGCTCAGATACTGTCGAACCTGCTCGAAGCGACGGGTTCTTGTGCGTCATTTCCGATCTGTCAACCTTGCGAAGACCCTTTGTAACAGCCTCGCCCTTGTTCAGCTCGGAAAAGACAGCGCCCAATCCACCTTTTCCGCCCGGCGTTTCTTCCTTGATTTCAAGAACGGGAGGTGGCCCAGGAGGCGGGGGTGGAGGGGGCAAGCCGCCAGCGGGGGGGGGAGCAGGAGAGGCGGAAGCGGCAGCAACAGAAGCGGACAGAGACTTGGCGACTTCCTGAGCAGGCTCCCCCTTAGGGTTCCAGGGTATGCCGTTGGGGAAGTGTTGCTTGACATAGTCGGTCAGGTCGCGGAAAACTTGATAGAAAGCTTGGACCCATTCAGTCTGCTGCACATCCCTTGAAGACAGTACGTTAGCTACATGGGCCCATTGTGGTATCAGGGGAGAGTAAGCCAGACGAGGCATTCTTACTTGTCTTTTTGCTCTTTCAACACCCTGTTGCCGAAAAACTGCGCAGAGCCGAGTGAGTCCTCGACGTGCTTGTAGGGACGGTTATCGACGGTAACCCATGCGAGAACCATGATGCCCTCGGCAACAGCGCTCAGCTGGCTAAAGACAGCCGATCCTCGGTTGGACTCCTTGATGTTGCTAACAGCGACGAGAGCTTCGTTGATGGGTTTAAGGAGGTCTTGGTATACAGCCATCTCAGCACCATTCAGGTCAGGCTTCTTGGCCTTGGTAGTGATGAGTAGGAAGTTGCGCTGGGCTTGGAAACCCTGCAATACCTTGGCAGCCTGTGGCACATACTTGTGTCAGCATTGGAGTTGGAGTCAGTGGCATGAACAGACGCAAACTAACCTGGTCAGCAATGAGACCCCCCAGCTGCTCGCTGATCTTGACATATTTTTCAACCGAAGTAGCTATGAACTGGTCAAACTCCTCGACGGACTCGGGGACCGGCTCAGGGGGCGCCTGGGGCGCAGCGACAGCTTGTGGCGGCGGGGGCGGGGGAGGCGAGGCATTGGCGACAGTAGGCGGCGATATAACAGATTGGTTGAGGGAAGTGACAGCTTGAGGAAGCTCAATGGTCGAGGTAGCGATGTCTTCAAGTCTAGCTGTAGCAGCTTCGAGACTTGTTTGGGGGTTAGCCTAGGGCGAAAGCAGGAACAACGCGGGACCCAGTATTATCCTCCTCCCGCAGGTGGAAGAGGGGGGGATCTGGCCTGTGGAGAGGTGGTCGGCGTACCGCTTGATAAGAGTTGTGAGGTTGTTCATGTTGTTCGTTGCCATGTTGGACGAAACAAAGAAGGCCAGGCTTCTTGAGGGGCGATCAGGGTTGATGGAGAGAAATATAGGTCGGCAACGGCTCGGGGGCTACGACGCGTGGCAGAGATGGTCTGACGAAGAAAGTCGCAGGAACTTGATGGTAAAAAAGGCCAGCTTTGCTTCCGACAATGGGGAGCTTCAACACAACCAGGATTGAGTAAAGATTGTTGAAGAGTGTCCGGATAATGACAATCTAGCATGAGCATATAAGCAATAGGGCGTCGGTGTATGGATCGATCGGGCGAGAGCTGGACAAATGGGTCGGAGGTTTCAGCTAGCGCGGAGCTGCTGGGATGAGATGAAATACACTACACCTGGCGAAGAGCAAATGGGTAGCGGCTTTGGAGGGATTTGTAGATGGGGACAAAATGATGATAATGGGTGGATAAAGTGTTTTGGATGGGTATTGTCGCAAGCATCTAATGTCATGCCAGACCACGACTCGTCCTATGTGTGGGGAGGTAGGTACGTACATGAGCAGCTGCGCACGCCACGTAAGGTACTACCTGCAGGCAAGCAGGCAGCCAGCCAGCCAGCCAGGTACATCAAGCTTAGGTGGGGTCACGCCAGAGGTGATGTATATCTGCAAAGGAAAGCACCTATCCCTACTAGGTGCCTACCTAGTTAGATACGATAGGTATGTGATTTTGATGGATGCAACCCACCAGAGGTCATTGAGTCCTCTAACTCCTACTTCTCTGTACGTGCACACAACATTCTTGACAAACCCAGCTCAGGCAACTCTCATGCGCATCGTATGACAACGGATGAACTTTGTCGCATCCAACCACTTCCATTGGATGCCTAAATAGGTACCATCTCAATTACTAGGGAACCAAGACGATATATCTTGATATGGACGATGGGACTAGACCTCAACACTGAGGAGCTCATTATGCCTCTCTCGCCTTATCAGATTTTAATCATGTAAGCCAACTGCTACTCGGGTCAGACAAGCAAGAGAAGGCCAGTTTGCTTGTCATGATCCAGGACACCCTCATCAGGAACGCAAGGCATGGCCTGAAGCTGTTTATTAGAGCCAAAGTTGAGACATTCAATTGGGGGATCAGGCCGCCATGGGCGCCGATAGCGAAACTTGTTTAGTGATTCTTTCACGGCCTCCTAAAAGAAAAAAGACAGAAAAAGAAAAAAACTTCGCCAGGGACAGAGGCGAGGTCTAATTTCACTGTAGGGTTAATTCCCCAAAGCAAACCCATCTCAATGAGTGGCGTGACAAAGCTTCTAGAATTTGCCTGGAGCTTTTTGCTGTACAGTACCAGCTCAAAAGTCTTGTTACAGCAATAAAGACAGCCAATAAAAAGCTACAGTAGGTGGTTAGGACATAGGGTCTTTGGTGACGCACTGTGAAGTGACCTCGAGCTATTAATGGGTCCTCTCTTCGACTCTTCTTTGGGTTATCCTTATTGCTGTAACAAGACTTTTGAGCCAGTACTGTAGGCTTATCCATGTGGGCTCACCGCGGCGCCCATGCCCAGCTCTGGCTCTGGCTCTGGCAGGAGACGGCGGAATCCTCGCTTGAGTTGCTCTTCACAAGCTACCTGCCTCGTTGCCTGTTGTCTGATATTGATAATCCGTTAGTCTCTAATCACTCACTCACACCCCCCTACTTCTGGTGTCGCCGAGAGCGATTTCCCTCGTCTCATCTCACCTGTATTCATCCTCCCACAAGGGCACGCTAATGGACCAGCCTGTCTGAGCACCCACCCAATTCCGCCCGTTCATATGCTTGCTTCTGTCCACAGGTGCCTACCGACCCGGATTCGACCAACCGTCCTTAACAGACAACACACCAATAAGTGTCGCCCACTTACTCAAGAGTCAACGCTCACAAAGTTCCACACTTTAAATTGCCTTGTCGTCTACAGCATCAAATTGCGATACCACCGTTGTGGAAGAAAACACACAAATTACTCTTTCAGGGACACATCAATCACGCCCTACCAGCAACTAGTAAATCCTGAACGACGCGCTTGCTTTCGTACCCTAGGGTCCACTGGCTGCCGAGTTGATGTCATGGCCGATAACAATCCACAGAAGCGGTCAGAGGAACAACTTACTGATGAAGAGTTCACCGCGTTGCCTCCTATTGATTTCGTGACATTGGGCATGTTCATTATTGGTGAGAAAGATCATCTCCCTTCTGCCCACCAGCACACAAGTTCTGCACACACTGACATGGACTGTAGATGAAATACACTTCCTGCCGCCTACGCCGCCAGTCTATGACATACTTGGGGGCGCCGGATCATATGGTGCTCTCGGAGCCCGTCTCTTCTCACCCCCTCCATGCGCCTCTTCTGTGGGTTGGATTGTCGACAAGGGCTCCGACTTTCCGAAGTCTTTGGGTGACCTCATCAGCAGCTGGGGAACCTCTGTTGTGCTCCGTGATGACCCTGAGCGCCTGACCACGCGCGGATGGAACGGGTATGAAAGTGCCGAAAAGCGTGCTTTCAGATACACAACCCCAAAGAAACGTCTCACCGCCAACGATTTGACACCCCATCTGCTACTTTCCAAGTCTTTTCATCTTATCTGCTCCCCAGCTAGATGCAGAGATTTGGTGACAGAGATTACCTCGTCCCGCAAGCGTGTATGTCCACCGGATGTGTACACTAAACCCATTTTCATATGGGAACCCGTACCGGACCTATGTACGCCCGATGAACTTCTCAATTGTACGAATACCCTACCTCTTGTCGACATCTGTAGTCCGAACCACTCCGAGCTGGCGGGTTTCATGGGAGACGATGGCTTGGACGCGGAAACCGGCGAGATATCCAAGACAGCTGTCGAAAGATCCTGCGAGCAGCTCCTCGCCAGCATGCCTCTTTCATCCTTCACGCTTGTCATCCGTGCTGGCGACAAAGGTTGCTATATCGCTCGGAATGGGGGTCGCAAGCGCCAGCCAAAGACAAAAGACGGCATAGGCTCGAAGCGTCGCCGAAAGGATTACACGAGAGGCGGTCTACAGCCCGACACCGACATGGAAGCATTGTTCGCCGGCCTGCTTCAGGATGACGAAGGTGTTGTTGTTCGCGAAGAGATTGAGGTGGATTCCGGCATGGAGCAGTGGATTCCTGCTGTGCATAACGACCCCGCCAAGGTACTAGATCCAACTGGTGGCGGCAACACATTCTTGGGCGGCCTCGCCGTTGCGCTCGCAAGGGGCAAGAACGTCGAGGAGGCTGCATTGTGGGGGAGCGTCGCTGCCAGCTTTGCTATCGAACAAGTGGGCTTGCCTCAAATGGGCCAGGACGACGAGGGTAACGAGATTTGGAATGGCGTCAGGGTGGAAGACCGGCTTGCTGAATTCAAAAGTCGTTTGTAGAGAGAATAGAAGTATAATAAACGTGGCCCTATTACAGAAACCTGTATTTGGGCCAACGAGATGAAATGTGGCATTGACGCCAAATATTGTGTTCGTTTAATTGGTTGTGAACCTAAGATACATGGCTCGCTGATCACTCGAGAAAACCTCCTCCGGACGCCGCCTCCCTGTCATGAGCCTAACGCCAGCGTCTATCCACAGTCAACTCAACACATCGTGCGACGAAATGTTAGATCTTGTATACAAGCTCGCCATCAGTGTACCTGCTTCCTCGTTAGCCTTAAACATTTACGAATCGATGTGGAAAGGGGGGGGACGATAAATCCGGGGAGCATACATGATCTGGTTTGCTTCGTCCATCTTCTTCAGAGCCTTGACAGCCTCCTGTTTGCCAAAAGCGCCACCACTGCGAGACTGCAGCTTCTTGTTGACGGCTTCAATAACAGCGTCAACGTTGGCCGAATCATCGTCAAACAAGGCCGAATTGAGTAACTGGCCAAGAGCGCTCCTGAACGCCGTCAGTCGCTGAGGGGTGATAGGCTCGTCTGCAATGGCGAGACCGGCTGTCTCTGAAGCCAGTTCATCCTCATCCTCAGCATCCTCTTGCGACTGCGAAGGCAACTGTGACACAGGCACTGAAGAAGCAAAAGATGTCTGAGTATGCAGCGCCGCACTCGAGGAATTAGCTCCACCACCACGACGGCGCGAAGTCCGGGGAATGGCGTCATGTATGCCTTCTTCTTCAACACCTTCTGTGTCGGGCCGTGTTGCTGACTCTGCATCGCTTTCCTGAGCAGCTCCATTGGCACTATTATCGTGCCGGTCGTCAGCGGCGGCTCGAGGACGCGCAACACCTCTTGTAGATCGCGTAGGTCGCGCGGCCGAGGACCTGGCAGCTGAGCTTCTGAAGTTCCCGTCATCATCGTCCTCGTCAGAGGAGCTTTCTTCGCTGGACGAAGCAAATTCTGTGGTTCGAGTCTTTCTCCGCTTCTTTCTCGACTCATCCTCCACCACCTCTTTAAACAAGGCGAAACGAAGGATTCCCTCGGCCGCAAGCGCGTCCCGCTCGTCCACTCTATTGGAAAGTCGAGACTTGGCATGAGCAGTCGCTAAACGAATCAAAGTCTCCAAGGTACGAACAGTCAGAGGACTAGTTCGGCGTTGGTTGCCCTCCATCTCATCGTTTCGCAGACCAACATATATGTCAGCGATGCGGTCTGATGCCGCCTGGGTCAGAACCGGGCGGATCCTAGTTTTGGCGTATTGGATGTATTTTTTCATAAAAGGGATACTGAGTACCTCGGGCTTCTTGTTCGCTCCGCGGCCAGACGTCAAAGTGACGCCAGCGTGAAGCATCGCGTCAAACTTCTCGTAAACATCAGTGGGTCGCTGAGTATCGGTTTGACTATTTAGAGCGACGCCGAGGGATTGACCGGCATTCTCGCGCACTGGTGCACCTTCTTCGGTCCCTGGTTGACGGTAGCGGTGCATCCGTAGAACGTGCTCTGAGACCTGTCGATCTCTCGTATCCTCAATGTCGTCGGTGACGACGAACAGAAGATCGAAACGTGACAAAAGAGAGTCCGGCAGGGCAATGTTCTTGTGCGGATCCTTGCGGGTGTCGTACTGTCCGAATATGGGGTTGGCGGCGGCAACAACGCTGCATCTGGCGTTTAGTGATGTATGTATACCGGCCTTAGCAATGGTGACAGTTTGCTGTTCCATAACTTCATGAATGGCAACTCGATCGATGTCGGACATCTTGTCGAACTCGTCAATGCAAACAACACCACGGTCGGCCATAACCATAGCTCCGGCCTCAAGTCTTCTTTCTCCAGTCTCCTTATCCGAAGTCACAGCAGCCGTTAGACCAACACCAGACGAGCCGCGACCGGTTGTAGCTATGGCAAGCGGTGCCGTATTAAGGACGAATCTGAGAAGCTGGGACTTCGCTGTGGAGGGGTCGCCCACCATGAGAATATTGATGTCACCTCTTAAGTGGGTACCGTTCTCCAGGTTCTTTTCCATGCCACCGAGGAGCATCAAAAGGATTGCCTTTTTGATATAAGCGTGACCATAGATACTGGGGGCGAGTGACTGGGACAGCAGATCAAGAAGGTTCTTTTTCTTGGCGACTTTGTTGATGTTTCGAATGTCGGTATCAGTGATTATGGCGGTTGCAACACCTCCCCCAGACTTTGAAGACAGAAGAATAATGTGATTGGCAACGATTACCGTCTTGAACAGGGCGCTGTTGTGGTTTGTATTCCGGTTTCCAAGAGTCCTGTAAATGCCGACAAGTTGGATGCGGTCGCCAGGCTTGACCTTGTCCACGAGGTCATCGTCGAGTATCACGTCTACACCACGGGGTAGCTGACCGGCAGGGGCACGCTCGGGCATCTCCTGGATAGAAACAGTCTGATGGTCTCTATAGGTGCTAAAACCGTACTCGGTGGTGAGGGGGTTTCCTTCGTCGTCCTCCTGCGGATAAGCGCTCGACGTGGTAACTCCATTGGTCATGGTCTGGTCCTGGTATTCGCGGAAGTGGAAGACGTCCTTGGCCTCATTGTAGTGTACACTCTTCACAACCTTTGGGCGAATTAAAGAGCATCTGGTGACTATGCCCTCAAGGGACACCATGCTGTTCAGGTGTTGCGAGGACAGCGTGCGGGGGTTGCAAGCATTCATGCCAAAGCTACCGGCCCAAGCGCAATAGTATGACACATCGTTCAGTTTTTCGGCGTCGCCAGACTGCGGCAAGGTCTTGACGATTTGCTTGAGGGCATGATTGAAGGCTATACTGTAGTCGAAGGGATCTTCAAGGATTCCTGAGGCGAGTTCAGGGTTGTGGGCACGGAGCTGATCAAGATTGACGACGAGTCTCCTCTGGTTCTTCTGCAGCATCAAGATGATGGCTGACCTGTAACTGCGCCCTTGAGAATCGTTCTCTATGGGGACAGAATAATTAGCATGCGAATACGACGACGGATGACGCAAAGGGAAACCGATGGGTTCTAGCCAGACGTGAATAACATACGAGGGTCAAGAAACTCTTGGGCTGCGCGCACGCGGTCCAAGGCGGCTGCGTCCTGCAGCATGAAGGAATCCATGGCGACAACTGTTTCCAGGTCTCAGGAGCGGGAAACGGAATAGAGAAAAGGCAAAACTAAGAAAAGGGTATCAGCAGCGCAAGTTGGTGACAAAAAGCGACAGTATTGAGGTGGGATGGAAATTGCGGATTGGTATGGAGTTGAAGGGTGGTAAGAGGAGGGGGTCCACCATAAAAAGCGCCTATGCATAGGTAGGTAGGTACAGAGGTGGGCAGGTTAGACTGGTTACCCAAAAAGAAAATAAAAGGAGGGGACAATTTCAACACTAAAACGCGACTTGACGCGTTTATGAAAATGGCACGCGTTAATTGATTTGAGGCGGGCCCCCCTGCCCGTGTGGCTGGTGTCCAAAAGTAGAAGTCCTTTTTCTGTCACCTAGCGGGACTCAACACTGACCTAAGTGAACGGTGTAAGTACCTAGGTACCTGCGGAAATGTCGCTTCATGCTTTACTGCAATATCGTCTGATTGGACGTATCAATGCAGGCACATGGGATGATAGGTTAAGTATCCGTACCTAGGTACCTAGAAGGGCACTTGTTCCGTCTCCAACTCTCAACTCTTCACTCTCAACTCTGAAGGCTTACCAGGCACCCAGGACACTACAATATCCATCCCTTCACTGCCCCTCCCCTGTCATTGTGCGTATGATCTAAACTACCTACAGGTATGTTCTCTCCTACTTGTGGGCACATTGCCTGATTCTTGTTCTTGCGATTTGAGCTCGCGGAGCCTTTCTCCTACAGCTCGTTTGAGCCGTCCTAAGCATCGGAGGCTAGAAATTGATTGCTATCACCGAGTGCCCTTGTTTCACATGCGCACTCCTTCCTCACTTCAACGATGTGGTCGTCCACGGGAGGAAATATAAAGGCTAAGACTCGGTACATGACATCGCCCATATCAAGTGACGCTGGTTGTCCTGCCACATTCGCGTTGCCACTCATCGGCATAGCCTTCTCCGCCTCGGCCCATAAAGGACTGGTATGCTAACAGCACGAACCATGGGGACAGACATATTTGCTCCTACATCGTGCAGCTAACTCTAGTTAGCCACGGCAAAGTTACCTACTGCCGTTACATCCCCGTCCTGGCATGTGCTTTGCGTCTTTTATCTCATGACTCTTGCTTATCCACCCTTTGGCGCCACTCATATGCTGCTCAAGATGGTCCCCAAGTCCCTTGATGCCGTAGAATTTGCCAGTGGCAATCATCCAGCTCTTCTTCGCCGTATGAAGCACGATTTGCGCAGATAAAGACACCATCGAGTAAGTGGCTTCTTGTGTAATTATGCAAAGAATCAGCTTTTCCCGAGTAGTCGCCATCGACGGAAGCATATGAGTAGCACTCGATAAATAAGGCGTGAGACTGCTGATGATTGGCGTTTGACGTTTCATACGTCATTCAGAGTAGATTATAGCTCTCCGTCTCACCTTGAAGATACCTACTCTGTCAATGTACGGCGGTGCACAAACCCGGTCAGCCATTGCACAAATAATCCATCCCTAGGTACGGATACTTGGTTCATCCAACCTTGTCTTGAAGGCAAACCGCCTGCAGGTTACCTTAGCCATACCTAGCAACTCATCCAATCAGGGCCCATTGGCCGCCGCCCGCCACCCTACCCGCTCTAGCTTGGGAATCAATACCCAGCGAAGTGCAGCTGACAGCGACTTTACTTTGACTTCACGCCTACGGAACTAACCATATCTTATCGCAACAACTACCGCACCGCTGTCACGACCACAACATCGACAAACACGAGATTGGCGACGTCCGCCTTCCTCCGATTGCCACCCTGTTTCCCATGATTATTCGTGTGTCAACAACGGGGCGCAGTTGATTCCACCTTACCCTGTCACTGTCTTTACAATCACAACTATCCTAGGCTGCAGGCGCAAACGAAGGAGCACATCATGTCCGTCGGCGCTGCGACCAGTCGTCATGCCGCCGACGAAGAGGCTCGTGCTGAGGTTGATGTGCTGAACTCGCGGCTCGAGAAGACCTCCCAATTGACCAAGAAGATCCAAGCATGCATGGGAAGGCTAGAATCTACTGGCAAGAGCGTACGCGAAGTTGCTGGTCCGCTGAGTGGGGAGACAAAGAAGCTTCAGGTCCTAGGTAACAGTACGACCGTCTGAAGACGCTCCCTTCTAGGCCGTCCTCTCCTTAGCTAAACTGACTCTGGGCCCCTCTCTCGCAGACATCGATGCTGTCCTCGCTGCCATTGAGCGCCTCCGCCAACCTGCCGATAGCAAGAACGATGAAGAACAGATCATTCGTGCCGGCCCCGACAAGGCTGGCCTTTCCAGCTTCCTCGCCTCGATCAAGCGCTTATCCAAGGCCTTGGCCGACATGCAGGCGTCCAACCTACGTGCGAACCAACAGACGATGGCAGAACTGGTCCGCTTGATCAAGTCGGGCAACTCACAACTCGAGAGCCACTTTGACAAGTTACTCCGAGGAGAGACCCCCCGCTCGGTAGAACCGCTCCATTATATTACAAAGGATATGCCATTCCCGGTTCTGTCCCAGGACAAGGTCGCGCGCCTCGGCTTGGTAAATTCATACATCTCGAGTAACCATCGCCAAAACGGCGGTGGTGCCGCTCCTCAAGATTCCTCAACGGCCAAGATCTATGCTGAAATACGTGGCCCCTACATTTCTTCAACATTGGCCAATCTGGCTGCTGCCAGTGTTAATACAACAAAGAAGAAGAACCCTGACGCCATCTACCGCGCCGGCACCAATGGTATCAGCACGTATGCGCAAGCTATGGAAGGTCTGTTTCTGGCCGAGTACGACAACATCTGCAGCATCTTTACACGGGAGGACTGGGGCCCCCTCTTCCAGGCCACGTGCCAGGCCGCCATGGCGGAGCTTGCCCGCACTCTCCGAGAATTAAATAGCCATATCAAGGGTCACCTAAACACAGATTGCTACCTCGCGTATGAGATCACCGAGATCATGTCGGGCCTATCGAGTAACCTGGAAACGCGCACCGGCGAACTCAAGTCCTCGCTTGCTGCGGCGCTCCGGCCCGTGCGAGAGACGGCCAAACTGACGTTGGGAGAACTGCTGGATGACACAAGACGGAGGATTGCTGCGATGCAGACACTTCCCCAAGACGGTGCACCAATACCCATTGTATCTGAGACGATGCAGCGCCTACAGACCATGGTCGAGTTTTTACGGCCAATCTCGAGTATCATGTTCTCCTTAGGTGATGGGGGATGGAAATCCAGCGTAGCCACTGACGGACGGTCCACGGACGCGATTCCAAGTCTCGCCTCATTCGACATCGGTGCTGACGGCAAGGAAATCTTTTCGCATTATTGCTCTGACACGGTTGATATGCTCATGGCATCACTTGACCAGAAGGCTAAGATGGTTCTCAAGGGTGGCCGGGCTGTGATTGGTGTATTTCTAGCTAACAGTGTTGTTATTATCGAACGAATGATCCGCGATTCGGAACTGGCACCTCTTCTTGAGGGACGGATGGGTATGCTGGACCAATGGCGCAAAAAGGCGACAGCCATGTATACCATGGACTGTAAAGAGGTGTCGACACATTTGTTTGATGTCATTCACACAAGCAAGCAACGGCCCACTTCAGGGCAGGCCGACTCAGCTTCCATCCTCAAGGGTCTGAGCAGCAGGGATAAGGACAACATCAAGGGCAAATTCCAGGCGTTCAATGCGTCTTTTGATGAGATGGTCAGCCGGCATAAAACATACAATATGGAACGGGAGGTGCGACAGATGTTCGCTCGGGACATTCAGCAAATGCTCGAGCCTTTGTACAACCGTTTCTGGGATCGATACCATGAGGTAGACAAGGGCAAGGGTAAGCACGTCAAGTATGACAAAGCTGGAATAGCCGCCGTTTTCATGACTCTATATTAGGCAAAGGCTTTGTTTGTTAGAACAGGGCACATGTGCCCCCAGCTTGTTTCTTTTTCATCATGAATTTCGTTTCCGTCTTGGGACTGGCGGGGCGTTTCGGTGATGAGCACCAACTCAGCGTTCGATGGATGGGTTTCTTTGGGACTGTAAGCCTGGTGTGGCCTCTGATATAGAAGACTAGTCGTGGCGCCGCGCCGAGACCCGTTGAGCATGGCAATCTCATGGTTTCTATGACGCCCGTATGATAAAGGCTTTTTTCCCCTAGCAAACTTGAAGCTACCAGAGCATTTGAGCGTCCCGGTGCTTTGTCTCCTACTATGCATTCGCATGTCGTACTGGGAAGGATTAAGGATGCTTCTGAATCGAGCACCGGTGCGTTCACAGCTGTAGGTAATACAAACAGGAAGGCCGCAACTGGACGCTGTATTCGCAGGTCTAGCTAGAATTCCATCCTCTTCACACAAGGCCCTCTTGCAGACGCCATTATCAAAGCTCATTTCGGCGGTGCCAGAGCAGCCCGAGGGTCTTGACGCGGTATGGGTTCTCGTTATCCCGCTTCTGTTCAGGACATTACTTTATGTCTTCTTGAAGAGAAGGTCGATCCGCTCGGACCTATGCCATACTATGACATCGTCACTTCGGCGCTTGAACCACAAGATGCGATGCTGGGGGATGAACTCCTCGTGTGTCTGCTCACTTTTCCAAGCAGAAAGAGCCTTCTCCTGTGGGCCCAGGAAACGGTCCTCGTACCCAACGAGGAAGTCGTTGCTGTCCATATCCGGGTCCCATCGCAGCCGATTCAGCACATCGAGTGCTGAGCGGAGTTTGCCCGCACCCTCGGGTTTCCGGGAGGTCGCCGAGCGTTGCTTTATCGATTTACCCTTTTTTGTCTTCTCCGCGAACCGCTCCTGCATCTCTTCATCTTCGCCCTCTTCTTCTTCTTCTTCTTCCTCGTCCTCCGTCTCTGACTCGTCATCTCCATCAACGTACACGCCCCATTCGCGATCATCCAACTGCAAATTGCCCAACTCGTTTGCCTTCACAACCGTCGCACTAAACCACGAGGTGTTCGGATCGAAGTACTTTTCGTCGCTTACAATGAGCTTCTCGAACTGCTGTAAGACGGCCCAGAGGTTACTTTGCGCTGTTTCCAAGTCATCCCTTGATGGCTTCTCGTCCGAGTTCATCCAATCCAGTCCTATAAGATAGGAGCCTTGATAGTCGCCCCGGGTCTCATCGGCTTCGGGGGTGAGCGAGTCTACAAACCTGGCGGGCCATATTCTGGCAGACAGTTCCGGTACTCTCCTGTTTATATCTAAAGGATGGACTAATTAGCCACATATTGCCGAATTTTGATCGCGAGCGATGTAAAAGTAACCCACCAACCAAGAGTGAGGCGCACCGGGACTCCAACCAGCCAACGAGCCTGCTCCCACGTTCAAGAGACGCTCCCCAGTAGTGAATGCGTAGATTGACGAATGAACGATACGAACCGAGGAATTTCGAGGCGCTCGGTGTCATGTTTCTGTCTTGGCTCGAGTCTGGAATAGACAGCAAAGATTGCCAGCTCGCTCCATCCCCAGATAGCTGGGTAGCGGCATGACAGAGTTCGGCTGAGATGATCTTTACAGTTGGGACTGAGGCAATGAGCGCCGTGTTGAGCGTCGGAGAGTGCCAGCCGAGAAGACACATGGCCTCCCTTGGTGTGCGGTGATACCTCAGGTTCTTGTGGAAAAATGGGTCAAAGACTACATCGTTCTGCCAGTCAAACCGTGAGTAGTGGTCAAAAAAGGTCGTGATGATGTCGACTGCAGAAACCACACCTCCGACGCGTAAGAGCATCTTGCAAACCTTCACCAGCATGACGGACAGATGTATGCCGCCGAGATACCCAAACTTGGCCGCGTAAATCCCTCGAGACTTTGCCCAGGTTTTGATGGCCTGGAAACTCACGCGGAACTGTGCCAGATCAGGTATAGAGCGCTGCAGATAGAATAAATCCCTTGCAGGCTTCAGCTTCAGGAGAGTCTGCATTGGCAAACTAAAAGCCGGGTCCGATGGAGGCCGCTTCAGCATGTCAGGCCACTGGTCTACCACGCTGGGCGCTTGGCAATATTGAAGGTCGCACTTTATGCCCATAACCTCGACCTCAAGCATGGTGCCAGTCTTGGCCTTGACTTTCCTCAACAATCGGACGCCGGACTCACCCGACTTTCTCAACCTTTGACGGGCGAGGGTGAAGAAGATGCGCGGGCTAATGGATCCAATGCAAAGGCAATCGATGTCGGATGTCCTAGACCAGGTGCCGAGACCATACGACCCTACGGGGACCAGCATAACAGTCGGACGGCCCCGTGTCTGATCTGCATTTGCTTGGTCCGAATCCAAGAGAATTTGCCGCAATAGCTGGAGGGCCTCTTTCCGGGTAGTCTCATCTTGCTCCGTTGGAAAAACTTCAAGGTTCTCCATACATTGCCTTAACGCGGCCGTATCCGACAGGCCAGCCGGGGCCTTCTTGGGCTGTACAGGAACCACTCGTGCACTAGTAACTGCTGCTCCCCTAGAGTCGAAGCGTTGCAAAAGGCATCGAATGCCCCAGTGATCACTTGCATACAACGGGCCCTCTCCGGGTCCGCCTTCGCCCATGATGAAGCCGAACATATTGAAGCGTGAAATTTGTAAGGGCCCTTCACTCTTGACCAAGATGCGGTCGTACCTCTGCGGACGGTTGTTGTAGCCGCTTCCTACCATCTTGGCAGCATGCGGGTTCTCTCTGGGGTCAAAGGTTGCCCCCTGTTCGCCTTCGAAAATATCATTGTCATTACCCTTGAGGTTGTCGGTGACGCCTGCCTCGATTCTCGAAACCATCCAGGCATCGAGGAGGCCGGCTTCCGCTAAAGTTACTTCGATACGTCGAAGAACGGCTTCCGTCTGCACGGTGATTGATCCCTTCTTAACAGCGTTATCAACAGTGCAGGAGGACGTGGCGATATTAAAGTCGCCAGCAATCAGCCATTGATTGGCAGCGTAATTGCTTTTGAGGTGGCTCAATATGCGCTGGAGTTCTCTGCTAGAGGGTCAGCTTGGAAACAAATTGAGACGCATGAATGCAAGTCGCCCATACCTTTCTTTGGCAACAACGGCGCCATCTGTTAAACCTTGGCTGAGATGGCAGGTTGCCAGTATCAAAGGTAATGAGAGGCCCTCTGACTCCCCGTGCCCCAGACCGTCAAGTCGGACCACGCACGATCCCTTGTGCTGACGCTTAAAGGGGAGATATTCCCAGGAGAAGATGTATTTGCTGAGAACCACATTGTTGAGTAAATTGGGCAAAGGTCCGGCAGCAGGGTTGTCTGGTGGTCCGTGTGAGACGTATGCGTACTGTTTTCGAATGCGTTCGTCCTCAAGTAAGTAAGGCAGAAAATCGTCGGTTACCTCCTGGAGTACTACGACGTCTGCCAATGAGGTTTCTGCAAGCAGGTTGTCCAGGATTATAGGATATCTCGCGCGAGAGGGAGGCCAGCGGAACTCTGCAAGAACATTCCAGCTGGCGACGATGAGGTTTTCGGAACCTTTGACAGTCAGAGATGGCGGCTCCGAGAAAACCGGGTCTACCGGCCGCCATGTCGGGTGATGATCGGAGATATACCATGTCTGTTGCGGGCTCGCAGTCGCAGTTGTATCTTGGTCCAGTCCGAAAGAATCCTCGCAGAGTTGGAGAGAGGGCGAGGCCAGATCGATGAGACCCCATTGCTTCATCTGTCCAGACGGTGTGCGAACCAGAACTGCCAGTTGGCCAGCGTTCCAGCTCACAGGCGGCAGGCGACGGAGCTTTTCGAGGAGGAACTCGAGCTTGGACGAGGGCGCCGTGTCTTCACACTGGATCACTGTCATGTGCATATTATATAGTCCAGAGCGTGTCTGGCCAATGGCTGCAAGTATATCGGCTCTCAGAGAGGCAATTTGAGAGACCCTTCCAACATCTTTATCGCACAGGAATAGAGTACTGCCATTCTTATGCTGAAAATAATCTGCCGAGTCCAGACGGATGGGAAGAGCGGCGGCCTCGCCCAAAGTTGTGCGGCTTATGAGGCTGTCGACAATTGCGTCACAGGCTAAGCGAAGAGCACTGGGGTCCGTAGACTTCACAAAGGGATAGACGAGGTTGACATGGGGCGGCCACTTCGTGTAGGCCTTGTCGTTGTCGCAACGAAGTCGGTCGACTGACGACCATTGGTCCCTAGGCGGAATCAGACAGAGAGCCGTGTCGTGGGTTGCTGCAACTGGGAAATCCATAGATAATAGTGTATTGGTAAGACTGGACTGGATTTTGCTGATGCTGTGGTGGTGGTGGGGAGTCATACAAGGTACGCCAGCTGAAGAAGCGGGTTGGTCCTCGTGAGCCGTCGACCCCTGGACGTGAGAGTTGATCACCTCTCGGAGAGACTGGAAATGGTAAAAATGGCTACCTGGTTTTACAAGCTTAAGAGGGAAGGGAAACCACTGCCTTTTGTATGCTGCCGAATGAATTGATTAAACAAGGCAGCTTGTGTGCAGCTTGTGTGCAGGCGTCTGGCTGGTTCAGTATGAAAACAGCAACTGAGGCTGAAATAAGGTGGGCAAGTATACGACTCCCTGGCACCCCAAGAGCAGGGTCAAGGTTGTATTCCAAGTTTAGAGTCCAGGGTCGCCAGTTTGATTGAGCCAATGTCGGGATCGTTGCGGGGAGTCACTGGCCGAATGTGTCATTCACATAAGTGTCGCAGCTCCCTTTAGGACCTTGGCTCGGCGTCTTCGAGCCAGGTTGTAAGGAGGTAGGTACCACTAAGTTGGTACCTATAGAAATGGCATTGACTCACAGTTATTATTGCCCATCCTCCAGAGCGGTAAAGTGGGCTTGGAGGGATTGTTGGCACTATTGCAGTGATACCTGGTCGTGGTTGTAAACGTGGGTCATCCGAGGTTGCCGAATGACTCACTGTACGTAGGTACTCAAAAGACGTCGTCTGGCAGTGAACTATTAGCGTACCTACGTAGTTCGTGAATGCTTGCTGAATTAAAGCACCTGTCCACTGTTATCGGTGGGTGGTGGCAACGCTGGCGGAGACGGGTGGCTTAGGCGAGTACCCACTTGGGTATGTAGGCAAATCCTACACTTCTGGCTGCACTGCCTGCTCCATTTCTGCAATAACTGCCACACTCCTCCTCCAAAGCAAGTAGGCACCTACCTAGTAGATAGGTAGCGTACGATATACGGACAACAAACATGGTGCATTCAGGAGACAATTTGAAAAGGGGCGGCGAATAGAGCTTCTTAACCAGCCTGGGCAGACCCGTGTGGTCGGAGAACGCTAGCTATGTCCCGGAAAGGCTATGCGAGTCCTGCAAGATGGATGTTTGCGAATCATTGGAGGGGTTTGAGGTGGATCCAGCAGGCTTGCGTGGTTGGCCGTCACGTCGTGGCCGCGAATTCGACTGGTGAGCAGTGTCATCGCGGTCGCCAGTGATAAGGGTGTCACCGTACGGGTTCCAGTGGATATTCGGAGAGAAGGCGGTGTCGCTGTTGGCAAAGGTGGCAGCGGTAACGATAGTAGGTTCGCCAGCGGCTCCGATGGGACCGGAGGCTCAGCCAAAAGCTCCGGTAACGACTGGAAATATAGCCACAGCAGAGCTATGTTGGCTGACTCTGCGGCAACCGCGGGGATTGTTTCTGGTGGCGGAATATTACTGAGTGTGACCCAGTCGAGCCAAATGGTGATCCGACATGCACAGTTGCTACAGTGATAGAGACTGGGACAAGAGTAACGGGGTTTCATGGTGAGCTAGAAAAAAAATGAAGCACAACAAGAAGAGTGCAGATGTCGATGGGCTTGGATATTGGGTTCGAGATTATTAGGAATAGATATATGTACCTATGATATCTGCTATTTGGAACCCAAGCTGACTGGAAGGATCACCGGTCCCTTGTTCTAAAACCTGATTTCGACTCCTGACGGACGAACCACGGCCAATCCTCCAGGAGATCCTCCTCCTCGGCATACCATATCATGTTGGTTACATGGGCATATCCCAAATACACATCAGAAACTGAGTCTTTCTAGTACCATGGAGTCCCGTTGATTAGGTGGAGTATTCCTGCAGTCAGCTTGGAACTAGGTACTCGTCAGAATGTCCTGTAAGGACGAAGCCGTCCAACGCAAGTGCAAGTAGTCTTGCTAAGCGAGTTCTTTTGACGTATGCCAAAGATCATCATGGTCATGCCTTCCCTCATACACGATGCTGCTGTCCTTCGAAACCAAAAGCCATCCCGTGGCTCTCCAAATCCGACACATTGCAGGATTAATGGAAAACCTCAGTCGCCTTGCGCGCCATGCTCAATCCCAAACGCCCAGGTAGGTAAGCTCAACCTGCCAAACAACAAGCCAGTATGCCACGCACCGCCTCATACAGCCGCTACTCAGGGGAGTCAACAGGAAAATCAGACCAGCTGGAAGCCATCAGCTTCGGCAGCGCGAGTGCCATCTTGACGTAGGTTCTGACGCGCTTTACGGCCCTTGAGGATCTGGCCATTCTCGTTAAGGATCTCATACTCCTTCTCCACCATGCGCTCCGTTTCACGCCCCGTTGTTTTGATAAAGACATCAAGGGTCAACGGCCGGTTGGGACTTTCAATCTTATCAAAGCTGTACTTCCAATCCTCGGAGGCGGCAAGGTTCTTCCATCCCTCCTGAGATGGGGCCATCTCCATGACCGATCGACTGAGAGGGTCCTTAATCTGCTCCTTGGCTCGTGCCGCCGCGTGCAGGCGGCCTTGTGGAAGCTCCCAGTGCGATCGAAACTTTGTTACGTTGTGCTGCATCTTCCTGTAATGAGACCTGCGTCTGACGTGTTAGAGAAAGCCATGCGAACACCAGGCACGGCTGCTTGTGTGGAAAACGTACGTCTCACTATTCTTTCCCCTGGGACGCGCCTTGGCTCGCTGCTGTTCGGTTCCACCGACGGCCTCCATGGTGGTCCAGTCAAGACGGCAGCCGGCCAGGGGACGGGCTCCGTTTGACCATTTGGACTGCGAGTCCTTGGTCCTCTTGTAGTCCTGGTGTGCGCTTCGGAGGTCCCGGTCGAAGTGGGCCTGGGATTCGATCGCGGCAGCCATTAGGTCGGGTTGCTCGTCGTGGGGAAATGATGGTTCGTGGTGGTCTTTGGTTCTTCAAGAGGCGCTGCCGCTGGTGCGTCGCTGCGGAGCGAAACACACAATATTCGAAGGTTCACAGGTTAGGAAGTTGTGCGAAATTCGAACTCGGGAACAGTGGAAGATGGTTGGTTCACTGTGATGCCTATTACGGATGGCGTTTGCGTATACGTACGGTCGGATGCTTCGTTAGATAGAAGGCTGAGGTCGGAGGAGGGATAACGGATAGATATAAGATGGTGGGGAAGAGGGAAGCCGTCAGAGTTATGCCCGTTCCGGTGACTGGATCCAGATGACGGAGGCTAAGACGAGGCCAAAAGGCAAGACAATGTGAAAGAGTTGGTGGGTGAGGCCAAGTAATCACTGTTGGGAGGGAAGTGGCCGGGTGAGTCACCGGACAAGTCAAAGGGCTGAGTTACCGAGGACGACAGCGCAGCGACGATAGAATGGGAAAGGACAGCGCCCAGAAGGAGCAGGTACAGAAGTGGATAGGTAATATAGAGGTAAACTAATACCAGAATATAGGTAGAGCCAGAGACGAGCGTCCAAGATAGGTGCTAGGGTAGATGGTGTGATGGTGGGGTCTTTGTCCTCGATGCTGTTGGGCAGAAGGGTCGATGAGAAGGAAACGTAGCAACATGCTCCAAGGGCAAGGAACGATGAGCTGTGGATGTGATCTTATTATACCTTGAGGGGCTGAGCACACCCCAGAAACTATCCTGGACCGAGCAGGAACTCGACGGAGAAGCCTGGAAACAAGGCAAGGTGCCTCAAAGGCAGACGGGGGGCGCGTGTGCCAACCTTGGAGACAGTCGAGCTGAAGTTCCAGACGAGACGGGACGAAAGGAAGTGACGACGTTGGCTGCTTCCTTATCTCTGTTGTCAACCTATCTAAACTACCTCGGTAGGTAGGTAGGTACCTGCCTGAAGGGGCAGGGGATAGAGGTGTGGTCCATGTCTACCTACTTGCAGCCTACATCCCTACCTACCTGGGTAGGATGGACTGTCTACGTGCATGCAGTACGATGTAGGTAGTAAACAGTAAGTCTACCTGGACCTCCGGAGGTCCAGGGCGTAAATTATAATAGTATTGTCTCGGCTCACCGTGGGAGGGTGATGGGTGGCCCGAAAGGTGCTGATACGCATCATGATAAAGCTCGGGGCGTGGTCAGAGGGAAAGGGAGGGGGGGTGGCTGCGTCACCAGAGCTGCGAGTCCATGCTTTGGGCGACATCACATGGATTGCCCCAATCAGAGGTGACCCCTTTGAGTGGGCGTGGACTACCGAAGGAGGGTGCAGAGGATGCCGACTGAGGTCAGGTGAGCCTCGCCAGCTGTGGACAACTGTCTGACCGCCTGATCTTATTCGGCTGAGGCCCAGTTGAGCACGGAGCACCGACGCGGAGATACCATCTTGGATGGGTACGTGCCGCAGTACCGTCCTTGAGGTCAGCAGGGACCAGTCGCGTTGCCGCTATTGATTGATGTCATGGATGGGGCCGTGCATGCACGGCTTTCATGCATTTCACTCCGCAGCATCCTGTGTACCTACCTACACTCACTCTGGTGACCTGCCAACACGGGCGCATGTGCTCGCCGATGACGATGCTGGCATCCTACCAACTCCATACACTGCTGCTCAGCTTTTATCAGCCTGTCAGCCGGCCGCTCTGAGCCACACCCCACGCAAAAAACGTGTGGGATGCCGCCTCGGTGTTGGCTGGCTCACTGCCAGCTCAGCCTGAAGATGGTGGTTGCTTTGGGGTCATATGTCCTCACCCATAACCCCCCCCCTGCTCCGTTAGCTTCTCTCCCGACTAGCATCCGCTCCCATTTTCCGCCTCGACAGCTTCGCCCACTTGTTTCGCCGAGACAGAAGCATGCGTCAGGCTTCTCCTGTAACACTGAAGGGCGCCCGGCTGGTGTCGTCGTTACTCAAATCACTTGGAGCTGTCAACCGTTATTCGTGACGTTGGAATGCGACAACTGTCTTTGATTGGACGGGAATGACGGAGAGAATCATGAGGTTGGGCAGCTCAACCGACGTAAGCCAAAGCCCCCAAGACGACACATCCGGCAGCTCTCATTGTTCCCATTCTCCAGCTCTTTGGGAGAGGCCAGTCTTGGGTGTGTGGTCTCTATTGACTTGCTCCCATGTTACGTCGTCTCCTCAGCCCGGGCCGCTGCCGTTGCTATTGAAACGGAACCCAGCTTCTTACCCGCGATCCAGGAAAAAGTCCGGGTGGCTGCTTGTACGATCCAGGCAATCTCAAGGCCTGGATTGTGGAACTCTACTGGCTTGGTATCGTACCTGTCTATGAGCGACAAAGGCCAAGGTGGCTCTCTTCAGGTCTGTGGTCTGTAAGACTGCAAGAAGCAGCTCGGGTCCAAAAGGGAAAATGCAGGCAATCCCCCGACGGGATGGCTTCGCGGCACGCCATCGCTATCACCCGGCCCGAGCTCGGAGCTTTCACATCTTTCACGTCACCTTTTGCGGATATAGTGGGGGTGCCGCAGCGCCGCTGCACGGGGTCAAAAAAAGACCCCAAGTATCTACACTATCGCAATGCCCGGGGTTTGTGGGACCAAAAGTCGGGCGCATAGATACTTGCGGATGTAGTTTGGTCGTGTCTTAAGTGTGTGACCTACGTACCTCTCGGCCTCTTACCATGGGTTAGCCGTCACGTTTGTGCGCTCTACACTCCAGCCGCTCCCGGGCCCGTTCCTCGAGACATCATCACCGCTTTCAAGTTTCTCGCACTGATCTTATTTGTCTTGGCAACCAACTCTCGGGTCTCTGACATGGAGCATCAGAAAAGCCTCTTGGCCCCTGGTCTAATCTCCCAGCCACAGCTAATGCAGGCGCTCAATGTTGTCCTTCTTCTGTTGAGAGACGGCCACGGATCATCTACCATGTTGGACATTAGATCAATCGACAGACACAAAGGTGCAAGAGGGGAACGCGAGAGCAATCGGTAACTTCTTCGTCTTCATTATACGCATCGCCCCTTACATGACCTTCCTGAACCGGTCCTCTCTCCGGCTACTGCTCGGATCTCCCGTATCGAGGTACAGCATTCAGGTCAGCACATCGAATGGCACATGATAACCCGTACCCAGTTGGATTTGATCATCGGCGCACGATTAGAGCGGAGTAGGAGTCGGTGCAAAGCACCATAAAGTACATTGGCGGAGCGATTGCTGGAGTTGCTGGGAGACCACTGGGTGCAACGTTGGAGATTTCAATGCGTGCAGCTTCAGGTAGGTGAGCCGTTCTTCTGGTGCCCCCGATGCTTGGTACACCGGGAGTTGTCTACCACGATCTTATTTTCGGGAACAAACACTGATTGCAGGCCTCAGTCCGCAGCCCGGTAATGTCCGCCAAGGCGAGCCATGGTCACTTTGAATCTCCAACACGGGCGTTCCTGTGCCATTTGTTGGACCAACCGATGGGCGATGGCTTTGATGACACAGGCCTTTAGGTTCCATTTGCAATTCTGCGATATATTCGACGAATATGTGGGCACGCCAAGAGCAGTCCGAGGTTCAAAGAAACTAGCAGTACCGCCAAGGATTCGTCAGCGTCAAATCATGGCATTCGCAGCATCGGTATCAAAAAGTCGAGTCTGGTTAACCCAAGTTCCCATATGGGAATGGTCCGGAAGATTGTTGGCAACTTTTCCTCTTTCGTGCTTATTTTCGTGAAAGCCTTCCGTGATGGTCTGGCGAGCTAACGCAAATACATACTGGGCGTTGAGCCTTTCTTGGCAGTCAGACCATGATTACAATCTCGCCTCTTAGTAACCAGCTGGCCTGCACTATGCTGGTGTTAGCGGACATACCCGCTTCCACTCATTTGTTTCCAGGGGGCGCAATCCTCGCTTTTTCATTGCCATCATCAGTCGATGATTTACCATTTCGTGCTTAACAAATCATTGCTTGCAATGTGGCATAAGAAGTGGTGTCTAGATGGAAATCGGAAATTCAGCCAGCGAGTGGTTTGTTTCATCATGTCTCACACTGGCCCAGATATTTGCCCTTCGTATCCAACGTTGCCCCCTCTATACCGGATCCAGCTTTTCTTCTGGCTCCATTGTACTCTTTGATGTCTGCAGACAATGCCGAGAACAAAGAGCTGATCCAAGTCTCCCGCCCATTGCGCTCCTCTCTTTCTCTTACATACTCACCCCAAACAACCATCCCCGCGTCTATGTACGCTCATCATGCAGCACGCCACGATCCTTTCTAACACCAGTAGCGCCACAACTTGGCAAGTATCTGTTCGGGCTCTGGAAGCTGCAATGCCTCGTATCACCGATCCTCTCCTCAGCATCGCTTCCACTTGGCAGGATGGTTATCTCCACAAGTCTTTTTCCACCTGAGGGACCTAGGGTCTGGGGCTAGCATGCGAGGTTGTCCCTAGTGTGGTCTTGGCATCTCGAGGGCAGACCAGGCCGCTATGCTTTGGTGCTTCATCCTGTAGTCCTAAGCCAGCTCGTCTGGCTCTAGGTCCACCTCGAGCACCCTATCATCTGAGAGCCAGCAAGCAACCGCTTAATGTAGAGCCGCAGTCTTGCTCATGCTCTGGACTTTCGTAAGATCTGCGCAGGAAGGGGCATTAGCACTGGCAATGTGCTAGACCCGAGAATGGTACCCTATAATGACATCTTGAAATATATAATTATTATGTCCTGTCCCCTTCACCCTGGATCAAGTTTCCCATCTATCTTCACCTCAAAATTGCCGCCTGGCTCGCAGTCTTTCGCTTGCTTCTCGTATCGAGGAGGCCCTTCCTTAAAGACTTACAACCTGGCCAAACACTTCCATCATGTCTTTTACCAACAATTTTCTACGCCTTCTTGGCCTCACAGGAGCTGCATACGCAGCATGTTCCAACCTTCTGATTGACAACTTTTCGAGATCATCCCCTTCCGGCCTGAATAGCTTGAGTTCATGGACTAGTGATGATGGCTCCATGAAAAACATCGTTGTCGCCAGCGGAGTACTTTCATTCACCCCCAAGGCAGACCCCCCGTCGTACTTTTACGAAACTCTTGGTTGTTATAAAGCAGCTTCTGGCGGTTACAAGGCACTGTCTCTGACTGTCAAGGGGCCCAAAGGTGCTTCATTCATGGTGGAGATTCAAAGCAAACAGGCCTGTACCGATAAAGAGTATAAAAGCCAGTGGGTTGCCGTTTCTGGCCTGACGGGCTCGTCACAGACTATCAGCATTGCTCTCTCATCGTTCGCTGGTGCCAGCTTGGACGGCATTGTGGGCTTTGCCTGGTCTACTTACACCCAGATCTCCGACTACCATTTCAGCAACATTCAGCTCACTTGCAATGAAGCCACGAACTCATCCCCCTCTTCGACTGCTTCCACAGGAATCTCTATTTCAGCTCCACAGTCTGTTCCAATCTCTTCCAGCACGTCCTTATCGACATCACAAGCTCGCTCCACTTCGTCTCCTTCTACTACATCGATCTCACAAGGCCGCACTTCTGCAGGCTCGTCAACCTTAACCGCCTCCTCCAGGACATCGTCCCTCTCTGGCAGTGGCAGTCGCTCGCAGACCGTGTCTGGCTCGGTCACGGCTCAGTCATCACCAGGCTCGTCAAGTTGCAGCAACCTTCTCATCGATGATTGGGAGTCTCAGTCACGTTTGACCTTCCTCTTTTACAACGCTATGTTGCAGCCAAGCAGCGACGATGGGACTATGACCAAAATAGAGGTTGCCAGCAATAGGGTCAAATTGACTCCCAACAACAAGAATTCTTACTTCTACAGTAAGACTGCGTGCACAAATATACAGGCGAAGGGGTACGGCGGCATTTCCCTACGTATCAAGGCCAGTAGAGGGACAACATTTGGTGTCCAGCTGGCTTCGTCGACAACGTGCGGCGGCGAGGATACGGCCTTCGGCTTCCAGACTACCAGTGAACTTGGTTGGGCTTTTGACGGTACCGAGAAGCTGTACAGCCTGCCTTTCTCCAAGTTTACCACGATCGACCTATCCAAGGTGTCCTCTATCTTGTTCACCACGCTCCCTGAACCTGTGCAGTTCGGACCTATGTCTTTTTACTGCGGTACCGTCCCATCTGAGTATGTCGTCAAGACGCCGCCGTCGGCCACTGCAACAGCCTCGACCGTTGCCGCGCCCAGTAGCACAGCAGCAGCCAAACTTATTGATGACTTTTCAGCCAAGGAGCAGAATTCTCTAGGGCAATGGCATGGTGGCGATAACGAAGACGCAGTCAAGTGGGTTAAGGGCAAGGTGACTATACAGGCGCCAGATGCCGATTTCGCCTACTACACTCAGTTCGAGAATTCATGTGCCGACTTGACCAGTTACGATGGTTCTTACCTGCACATTGCTTACACGGGGAGCAACAAATTCACCATCGCGATGCAGCAGCATAACTCACAGTGTAACGATGCCATTGCACCATTCCCTGAGACTTGGGACTCGCTCGAAGCGGCGCGTTATGCTACTGGGAACCAGATCTACATTCCCATGTCACACTTTAACATTGTGCGGAAGCGTGCGGTTGGCTTGGCCTTCAAGGGTTTCTACACAAACGAGGCTGTCACGTTGACTAAGATCGAGATTGTCTCATCTGTGCCAAAGGACGTCCACATCCCGACAAAGATGCCTTCTGGCAACCTTGTCTTCGCCTGCAAGCGTCCCAATTCGATTGCGTTCGCCATTGACGATGGTGACCCAACCTACGCTCAAGAAGTCATGGAGATTATAAGATCTGAGAACATCAAGGTCACATTCTTCACTGTCGGCGCGCCCCTTAGAGACCCCAGCACAAATCTGAGCAACATTTACCAGGATATGATGACGCAAGGTCACCAGATGGCTCTCCACAGCTACACGCATCCCAGGATGGAGGGTCTTCCGAACAATGAGGCTATTGCTTGGGAATACACTCAGGACATAGACGCTGTATCAGACATGTTCAATGGTCTCAAAACCAAGTACTTCCGTCCGCCTTTTGGCAACGAAGGCGCTCGTATGCGCCAGCAGCTGGTTTCGACAACGGGTAAGAGTGACGCATACATCGTCAACTGGAACATCGACGTTGAGGATTGGCTCTGGGCCACTTCTTCAACACCCGAGAAGCAGCTAGAGGCTTTCCAGCGCGACCTGAACAAGGGGGGCAGTCTTGTCGTCATGCATTACTTGTACCCTAGTACCGTCAAGTACCTGAGACAGTTCATTCAGATGGCCAAGAAGACGAACAAGCAGCTTATGCGGGTTGATCAGTGTATGGAGGATCCTGAGGCACCCGCACTGTAGAGAGAATACCTTACTAAGTCTAATACCTGTTTTTAAAATATCTAATTACTTATATCTACTTATAAAGTAATTACTATAGTTTACCTAATATATATATACTCTTGATATATAACTCTTGTGTTTATTATTTATTTAATAAAGGCTAAGTAGGTATTATTTAAGAGAAGTATATTAAAAGTAGTAATCTATAGTACTAAAACTAGGGTTAGGAATTAGTTAAGTTAAGTGAAGTTAACTAGTTAACTAGTTAGACTAGTGATATAAAATAAAGATTATAATAAAATCTATAATATATAATATAGATAATATATATATTTATATTAATAGAAATAAAGAAATGTTTATTATTAGTAAGTATATTATATATATAAATCTATAATATAAGTATTAGTATAGTAATATAACTAAATATATATAATAATATATATGTACCCTGAATACAATAAATATATATATATATTAATAGAAGATAATATATATACTTATAATTAGATTAATAGTAAATAAAGTAATTATATATAAAAGACCTTATATTATTAAAGAATTAACTACCTAAGGTATATTAATTACATTAAGCTTTTAATAAGAAAGAAAAACATTTATATCTTAAATTTCTTAAGGTTTAAGTATATATACTTTTAAATATATAATATAATATTATAATATATAAGTATATATATAAAGATAAAAGTTCTATTAAGTTTATTACAGTATATTAAGAATACTAATAAATAATAACTACACTTTAAATATCTTCTTCTTTTTCTTGTTTTTCCTCTTGTTTTTCTTCTTCTTTATCTTCTTTTTCTATATATATTTCTACTAACTCTTTTAAAGTACTAATTTTCTAATAGTTTTAGAAAGATTAATCTAGCTGTAATACTAGGCTTTAATATATTTTTATTTCAAGTAACTATATTATAAATATAGAAAAAACCCTTTCTATAGTAGCAGAAGTAGCTAGAATAGCTAGATAACTTCTAGCTAAAATACCTACTATAAGGTATTTATAATTACTACTTATCTAATTATAATAACATATCTATATAGTAAGTAAAATAACATAGTAAGTAGAACACTTCTACTACTTTTTTACTTCTTTAACCTTTATATTTACTTTTCTTAACGTATAAACATAAACTCTTCTTCTAAAGAAAACTAAATTATCCTTACCCTCTAAGCTATCTAAAAATACCTAAAAATGTCTTTATAAACAGCAGCTTATATCTTTAAGGTCCCCCTAATATCTCTCTATAACTAATATAATAAATATATTATATAAGATAATATATATCTAAAATTAAAAAAGATAATAGAAGTAAAAAAAGAGGTAATTTTTAAGAGAATTATTAACCTAATTAATTAAGGGTTTTCTTTATAATAAGATAATATATAAGTGATAGCTAACTAACTCCTAAATAAATATAACATAACGTATATTAGACCCTAATAGGTAGAGAACTTTATATAATAATAAACCTAATTAAAAATATAATTTTAATATTAAATTAACTATTAAAAGACCTTAGCTAAAAATCTTATAATTATATAAGGCTAGTTTATACTTATATAAAATATAATTATAAAGTATAAAAAATATAATTATAATATTTATAATTTTAATAAGACTAGGTTCTTAATAAGAATACTATTATATATTAAGGTTATTATAACCTCTAATTATAAAAAAAAGCCTTATATAAAGTAGCTTAGTAATTAAGAATAGTTTTTTATTATTTAAAATATATATATAAATAGCTAGGTAATATCTTTATATATTATTATAAAAAGTAAATATTACTTTTTCTCTTAGTACTAAAATAGCTAATTTCTAGCTAAATAGTATATCTACTTAAGTAAAAATAAGTAAATAATAAATAAGATTAGCCTAAATTAGTTAAATTATTTTAACTAGTATATAAAGTCTTATATAAAAAGTACTTATTAACTCCTAATTCTTAATAGTTATTATAGCTATAAATTAACTAAATTTAATAATTTCTACAAAAAATAAAAAATTATTACTTTATATATACCTTTTTATTTATTATATAAGATTTAGCCTCTTAATATTAGTTATTTTAGCTTATTAAAGCTTTTATATAGTAAGGAAATTAAAAAAATAATATAAATATAGATTTTATATATTATAAGGAATAACTTATTTTTTACCTTTAAAGTAGTATTTTTTACTTTAATAAGGGAAAAAAATATATAAGCTAGCTTTAAATAGGCTAGCCTTATACTTTTTAACCTTAAAGTAGTTATTTCTTACTTAGATGTTAAGCTAAATATACTAATACCTCCTAGCTTATATCTAACTAGCTGTTATAACCTAATAAGTTATAGGCTATATTACCTTACCTAACAGATAGATAGTAAGCAGTAGTAGTATTTATATAGATAAGAAATAAGGAATAAATAGATAACTCCTTAGAACAGAAGAACTATAGTATAAGTTATATAGAGATAAGGAAGTAATTATAAGATAAGATAATTACTAGTAATTATAAAAGTAAGTGCTTACTAGTATTTACTAAGCGCTTACCTTATATAAGGATAGTAATTACTTATAACTAGGGTTGGGAATAAGTTAAGTTAGGTTAAGTTAAGCCCTTGACTAAGACTAGGCTAGTTAAGTCAAGGGGTTAACTAAGACTAGGCTAGTTAAGTCAAGGCCTTGACTAATACTAGCCTAGTTAAGTTAAGTCAAGTTAACTAGTTAACTAGTTAGACTATTTATATAAAATAAAAATAATAGTATAATATATTATAATATATAGATATATATATATAATAAAGAAAGTATGTAAAGTAAATATATATAAAAGACCTTATATAATTAAAATATTAACTAGTTAATATATATTAAAGATATAAAGCTTTAACTAAGTTATACTAAAAGGTAATAGTTATATTATATATATTTTATATTATCTAAACCCTAGGTAATATATTATATATTATCTAAACCCTAGGTAATATATTATATATTACCTAGGCTATAGTAATATAGTATAGTAAAGATTGTTAATATATATATATATATATATATAAATAAAATTAAAAATAATATAACTTAATTATAGTGTATAATAAAAATACTAATAAGAAGTTAAGTAACTATATTTTAACTATCTCTTTCTCCTCTTCTCTCTTTTCTCTCTCTTCCTCTTTTTCTTCTTCTCTTCTTCTCTCTTCTCCTCTTCTTCTTCTTTTTCTTCTTCTTCTTCTTCTTCTTCTTCTTCTTCTTCTTCTTCTTCTTCTTCTTCTTCTTCTTCTTCTTCTTCTTCTTCTTCTTTTTCTATATATATATCTTCTAATTCTTTTAAAGTACTAATTTTCTAATACTTTAAAAGAATTAATCTAGCTATAGTACTAGGCTGTAGTTTATTTCTATTCTTAGTAACTATATTACTAGATATAGAAAAAACCCTTTCTATAGCTGCAGAGGTAGCTGGAATAGCTAGATATCTTCTAGCTAAAATACTAAATAAAGAGTATTTATAGCTATTACTTTTCTAGTATAATAAAGGGTTAACCTAAAGTAAGTTAGTAAATACTATTACTTATAAGTATATATATATATATATATATAGAGAGAGAAGTATATTTTAATATATAAGGTATTTAATAACTTACGTCTTGTCCTAAAGGCCCTTCTGAGACATAAGTTAAATACTCTAACTCTATACTAGTATTACTTATATAGAAGTCAGTATCTAAATCTAAATTATAAGAGATATTAGAATCTAGTATATTTTTAGATTTAAGACTACTATCTCTTTCTATTTTAACCCTATAAATATATATATATATATATATTAGTAAGTAAATATAAATATATATATAGATATATATATAAACTTATAAGTCGTATTTAATTTTTAATAACTTAATAACATCATTTTTTATACCTCTATAGTAAAATAGAAGCTAATTTTCTTCAAAGTGACGTAGTTTAAACCTAGGATCTAATACTATACTTCTAGTTTCTATAAAAAGTATTTATTTAACTTCCAGATTCCCTTTTTTATACTATTAATTAAAATAGTATAGTAAGAGGCCTATATTTATTTATATTAGTATTTATACTAATATATATATATATATATATATATATATATATATATATATAAGAAAAAGAATACTTACTGTTTCTTCTAGTGTATCTTTTAAAGTAGTAAACTTATTTAATAAGTTATCTAGCTTTTTATATATAGTATATATATAATAAACCTATATTTAGATTTATATATAGCTCTGACTGTAAGTAAATACTTAGCTTTAAAAATACTAGAAATATAGTTTCTAGATCTTTTAAAGCCTTATATTTACTATTAGTAATATAGAGCTTTTTATACTCTAAATTAGTAGTATTTCTATAAATATACTCTAGAGCTGGCCTTAGCTCTAAAGTGGTGGAAGTTATTTAATAAGTAGAATTCCACCTTGTATTACTACCTATTAAATATATATTAGTATATTTATATTAATACTAATAACTATATATATATATATAGATATATATAGTTATAATTATACTTTCCTAGAGGGATAATCTGTTTATTAAAATTAAAAGGTAAAGTATTATTGTTTTTAGCTCTACTTATACCTTCTAATAATAAGTGCTTAATTTCTCCTGTATATTTAACTAATACAGAAATACGTCGAATTTATTTAATAAGACCTATTAAATAGTTAGTAATAATTAAGGTTAATACTTACTACTTACTAGGCTTTGTTCTTCTTCTTCTTGTTGTACTTCTTCTTCTTCTATTTCTCCTTCTATAGAAGTATTATTATTAATTATATTAGTATTTCTAGTAATATAACTAAATAATTCTTCTTCTTCTATTACAGTAGATATAAAGCCTTATAGTATATCTTATACTATAATGTTAATTATATAAGAAATACACCTAATATCATTCTTAAAAGACTTATTATAAGTTAACTTATAATTAGCTTTAAAAGAAGTAATAAAGGTTGTATTATTC